TTTTTTTTTTATTTAACTGGAGTATTTAACTGAAAATACTTATTAAATAATAATAAAGTACTTGCCAGTATTTTAGATTGCAAAGTTTAACATTATTTTAAAGGTAAACTAAGTTTATTATTATTATATTGGTAATATTAGCAAGTAATAATTACTGATTTTTATTTTTATTCATTTTATTATAGACCTTGTTGGATAAACAAGATATTTTTATATACAGCTAGAGATAAATATTTATATCTATAGATAAATGTGGTGGGTACTTAAGTTAGGACAATTTTTGGATTATGATTAGAAAAAGATTTGTTTCTTTCAAAAATTAAAAAATCATTTAAATTACAAATTAACAGAAAACTAAGATTTTGATTTTTTTTTTAAAAAAAAATCATTATAATTATATAAACTTTAAATCTTTAAATAAAAAATTATTCAAATCAAATTACAGATAATCGAAATATTATAAAGTAGTAATTATTGTTTTTAAATGGTTGGTGAAATTTTCTAATTATTGTAAGGTTGCAAAAGGCATAATATTAAAATTTTTTTTTTTGAACGTTTAAATGCAAAAAATAATTTTTTTATTCAGTAAATTATTATGTGTTTAAATTTCATTGGCTGATCATTGTTGATCAACATGTGACATAAGTGTTTTCAGTATTTTATTATTTTTATTTATAATTTAATCAGTTTCAACTAAATCGAAAATAGCGATAAAATAATAAATAATTTTTTAATATTTATGATTTCTTAAGGATATATTATAAATAAAATAATTAAAATTCTAAATATTTCTAATTTTGGTTTTATTTTAGCTTTTTTTAATTGATTAAAATTGTTTTTATACAATAATTTGTTATTATTTAGTAATTAAAAAAAAATGATATATACTATAACTCATTAGAATCCTTTTATTAAAAGTTTTTGAATAATATCAAAATTTTTTTTAATATTAATAAATAGCAAATTGCTGTAACATTATTTATTAATATTAAAATAATAATTTTAATATTATTTGAAAGTCCTTAATAAAAGAATTCTAATGAATTATAGTATAAATTATTTTTTTATAATTATACCAGTTAAATAATAACAAATTGGAAATCAATTAAATATCTGAATAATATTAGAGTGATATTTCTAATTTGTTATCATTAGTAAATATTCAGCATTTATTAAATGACTTTAGACATTTAAATTCTCTTTTAGAAGATACTTTTTAGTTTTTAATTATTATTTAGTATACAATTCAATATGCTCAAATAATATATAAATGTATATACTAATTGATAATAAATTAATTATTTATTAAATACTTACTGGTCAAATATTTACTATTTGATATATTAATATACTAATTAATAACTTTTTGATTAAATACTAATATACCAATTGATAACTTTTCAATTAATTTATAATAAGAAGAAATCTTCTGATTGCTATACATCTTTATTTAAAATATTATAAAATTAAAAATATTAATAATAAAAATTATTTATATTATTTAATAATTTCATATATAGGCTCTGTAATAAAAAGAGGGAAAACTACCTAAAAAATTTAATTTATATTTATATACTAAAAATACTCCAAATATTATAATTTGTTCAAAATTAATATTTAATATTAACTAAAAAAATTTTTTTTTAGCAGTTTTTTCTCTTTCTATTGCAAAGAGCCTATATATTTACTAATACTATTATTATATTCTTATACTTTTGAAACTTTTCTAAAATTTGGTAAAAAAAGTTTTGAAATAAAATTTTTTAAAACTTGCCATTACTGATTCAAATTCAAAAAAACTAATAATACCTAAAAAAACAAAGAAAAAAAAAATTAAATATTTTTTTAATTAAAAAAAGTTTTAAAATAAAACTTTTTTAAATTTGTTATTACTGATGATTCAAATTCAAAAAACTGATAATATTTAAAAAATAAAGAAAAAAAATTTAAATATTTTTTTAATTAAAAAAATTTCAAAATAAAACTTTTTAAACTTATTATCATTAATCTAAATCTAAAGATCAGAACTAATAATACCTAAAAAAACAGAGAAAAAAAATTAAATATAATATTTTTTTTAAAAAAAAAAATATTAAAAGTTTCAAAATTTTTAAAACATACAGATTTAAAATTTATATTGAAATCTAAGATTATTTCTAAAAAAAATTGAAAATAGAATTAGTTATATTTACTAATATTTCAATTTATCCTTTTTTTAAATATATACTTTTTAAGGTATTTTGTTAATCCTAAAATATTTTAAGGATTCTATAATAAAAAAAAAAGAAAATGGAATATTAGTAAATGAAACTAATGTCTATAATTTAAAAAAAAAATAACTCTTTTTTTTTATTACCTTTTGAGACATTTTATTATTTCTAAAATATTTTAAGAGTCCTATAATAAAAAAAAATAGAATAATAGTAAATAATACTAATATTCATAATTTAAAAAAAAACACCTCTCTTTATTTATCTTTTGAGATGTTTTATTAGTTTTAAAATAATTTAAAAGTCCAATATAATGAATAATATATAAATTAATTTGATACAAATTAAATTACAAAAATTGCAATAATAATCGATTTAAATACCTTCTGTTTTACTATTATCACCTTTTAGGCATTTTTCTACAATGAACCAATTACTTATAATTCAAGCAATGCATTATTTGACTGGAAAAGTCTTGGATTAATATTACTATATTAAATAGCTGTAATGATTAAGCCTTTATAAAAACAAAAGAAAAAAAAAGGTTTAAAAGAGCATAATTAGATTTATACAGAATAATTGCCAAAAATTTAGAAATTGGCAAATTTTCTGTTTCATATATTATAAAACATTTTTATAAATATGATTATATGAAAGATCTTTCTTCACTTACAGAATGATCATAGCTTTTGATTACTAATGATGTAAAATCTGGTATTTTAATCTCAAATGGAATTATAGTTAAATTTCCCTCTAATTAAAGATTTATTGCAAAAGTATTTTTTTTTTTTTACATTTAACTAGGAGAATTTAAATTTTGACATTATCTTATTATAAAAATCCTAAATTTAAAATTATTTAAAATCAACTGTATACTAAAAATTGTAAAATCTATATATTTTATAGTAATTTTTGATTATAAAAAAAAGAAAATGGAATGTTAGTAAATAACATTAGCATCCATAATTTAAAAGAAATCGCCTCTCTTTATTTACTTTTCAAGATGTTTTATCAATTTCAAAATATCTTAAAAGTCTTATAATAAAAAAAAAGAAAATGGAATATTAGTAAATGATACTAACATTCATAATTTAAAAAAATTTTCCCTCCCTTTTTTATTTTTTTTTTAAGAATTTCATTAGCTGTTTATTATTCATATATGGATTAAAAATTTGAAACATTATTGAGTATAAGTTTCTTGGTATTGGGACATTTCACCAAAAGCCATTTGCTGAAAAATAATCTCTGGCCTGAGTTATTTATAATTCTGCATAATGTTGTCCCTATTTTTTGCAAAATATCCTTTCAGTAAAATGGCTTTCAGCAAAATATACCATAACCAAGTTTCTTACACTATATATTAAAATAATTTGATTTAATAAATATTTTAATTTAATTGCTATTTTTTAAAATTAAATATATATAAATATATTGCACTGAAATTTTTATATAAATCTGAATTATATTAATTTAATATTTTGGTTTTAGATTTTTTTGGTTTTAATATACTGATATTACCTATATAATATATATTCAAAAGTTTTCAAATAATTATTTTTTATAATTTGTATTGAAATTTATGTTAAAAAAAATAATAGAATTTTAAATATCAATTAGCTAATTAGCTTTTTGTAAAAAATTTTCTTTATTTTTATTATACTTTTGATAATAATAAAAACCAATTTTTTTTATAAAACAAATGTATATTTTTAACAGAATACTATTGAGTATAAATTCAATTGTTATTACATTATGAACAAATAATTAATAATTAGTTTTAACCAAAAAATTGAAAATTTTATCCAAAAACAAAAATTTCTAAATCAAAATAAATAAAGTCACTTACCACTTTATTTGAAGAAACATTTACCATGATTTACGAGGTTGCCAAATATTTTTCTATAATTTGCTGATAGATCGCACTTTGGAAAATGTACAATTTTTACTTTTTTAATCCGATTTTTATTAAGTTTTTAAAAATAAGCTTAAAAACTTTTTATTCGGTTAGAATCACCAAAACGAACCTGAAAAATACTGTATATTTCGGCCAGAATTAAAGATCTTAGAGTGACGGACAATCAATTTAAAAAGAACTTGATATTATATAACAGAAAGAAAGAATTCACAGAACTTAATATACTACTAAGAGCAACGTATCACTCTTTTGGTTCTTAATCTATATTATTGCACGTAACTTCTAATTGTAATGTTTAAATATCAACGATTTAGTTCATAATGCTGTCAATTAATTTATTTTTTAATAGACGAGTACATTAAATAAATATGAAAACTTCTAAACTTATTTTTGTAAATTCTTAGATAATCTAAAAATCTATTTTTTTTCTATATTTTACTCATTAATACCTATATATTTTTTCAAAGCTTCATTAACTATATTTTCGGCACTTTGAAAACTTTCTTCCATATATTTAGCAAAAGAAAACTTTTGTTTGGGTATTGAAATTGATAAAGGACTTTTTATTTTATTCGTAATCGGTTCAGAATATGGATTTATTTCAACTTTAATATTTGCTATTGCGCTAAAATTTTTTTTAGAATAAAATTAATAAAATTATGATCAACTTGTTAACATACAAGTAATGCCAAAGAATTACCTTGTGGCCATTGTAGCACAAACAGAAAACGAAGCTAAAGGCTTAGTCTTGTCTTTACCGTCTTTGTTATTTTTGTCATTTTTTTCATTTTTATCGTCTTTATTGTCTTGTTCATTTTCATCGTCTTGTTCATTTTCATCGTCTTGTTCATTTTCATCGTCTTGCTCATTTTCATCGTCTTGTTCATTTTCATCGCCTTGCTCATTAACATCGTCTTGGTCACTTTCATTGTGTTGTTCATTTTCATTATCATTTTCATTTTTATTGTCTTTGTCGTTCTTGTCGTCTTTATCGGTTTTGCCATCTTTATCGTTTTTAACAATTATACCATCTTCAACTTCAGGACATATATGTATAGAAATTGAATTGCCAGCTCTAACTTCACTTTTCATTAGCATATTGTATAATTTTTTCCTTTCTGATTTGTTTCGTGGAAAATCTGGTGAATCTGGTACATGCGCTATGTGAATAAAATATGTATTATCTCCCATTAATGGAACCTAAAAAAAACAAATAAAAAGTTTTTTGTAGAAAGTGAAGAGTATCTGTGGTCAAATATTAGTAACTTACCTTCCATCCTATAAGTAAAAATAGTTTATCACTCAAATTCCCCTGATCAAGTACAAGTTCATAACATAATATTCCAGTTGTTCCACATGTAAATTTACTCCTAAACGCCCTGATATTTGATAAAATTTAGTGCCAATACTTTACTTAGTAATTTTATGAAATTTTCTATTTACCCAACACCCCATTTACCAGGATCGATGCTTAATGTAGGAGCATTAAAACAATCGGTTTCTGACCAATATTCCATATTTTTTAAATGATAATGCATATGAGAATTATTCACCGAAATTGTTAAACCTCTCTTTAATTGGCTACTAATGGTGCTGACTGTCTGAAGAAGCGATGCTGCTGAATCGATTGACATGGTTTTTTCAGGGAAGAAAATATTCTTTTTTGGATGCACACTATTTATAACTGCTAAAGCTGTAACACAAAGTATTTGTGTAATGTTACACGTTTTACACTTGGAAAATAGATTTTTCGATTGCATTTAACTACCGGCAAAAATAGTTACAACTGTATATACCCATTTTTTACCGCAACTTACGAAGTAAATATTCGAACCGGTAATATGAGTATCATTGCTATGTGCAGAAAAGTGATCTTTTTAAAAACAATGGCGAAATGTCATACATAAAATAATGATTTATACGAAAATATAATAATAGTTATACGCATCCTCCCACTTCGATCCGCTTGGATGTCCAATCTCAGATTCCTCTTCAGTCGGTTCTTCCGTCAATCAAATGATTATGGCAATTCGTTCTGTAAAATACAAAAGATTAAGAAATAACTGAGCACTTCAAATTTCAGACTCTTTAACATTACTTTATTATCTTTTATCAAGGCATCAATTTTTGCCGTGTCCAACTTTCTGTATACGCACATGATTGATAAATATAAATTGATTATTAAATTAATAATAAATACTATGGTAATTTCTAGAATCAGGCTTTCTATTATAAATTTTTTTGGTATAATGCTAACTCAAATAAATATATATAGTATTGCATTATATATATACTATAACGGATTTTTTATAAATTTTTTTTTTTAAAAAAAAATATTTTATATATATATGTAATATCAGATTATTAACAAATTTTCTTATAACAAACCTTTTATAAAGTAAGTTATCATTATTACAGATTGAATACTAATTAAATAATTTTTATCAAAATAACAAATTACCTTGTTATTTTTTAAGTAAGATTTCTAGTCAAAAAAAAAGCAGAATGTTCAAAAACTTTAAAATTCTAATTAGGTCATAGTAAAAATTTTTTAAAAGTTATATTATATCCTATACTTAAAATATAATATTCTGGAAAAAAATTTAAATAAAAAAAAAAATAATTATAGAAATATATTAAGAAATATTCTAAGAAATATTTAATAAAAGATGAATTTATTTTTGGCTGAAATTCAGACGTTGTTAAGATCACTGGCCAACTGACAGGAAGACTAGGCCAAATATGGAGTATTGGGATTATGGAATGCTCGCTATCATTCACATATATATTAACCCTTTTTTTTACCTGGTTTTTTTTGTTTAAAATCCTCTTTTTTTCTTGCTGTTTCATAATGGGTTTCGCTAGAATTTCCTTATAGGTGAAGACTAAGAGGAGGGATCTCCTCTAAGAACGAGTATGTGCTCAACGCAGAAAGTGCTCTCATAGCCTAAATTTTGCCTAACAGTATACACGTGGGGTCCTTTTCAGGATAATGATTCTTATTTGTATAATGTATTATGATTTATAAACGCTTTTATTCTAATAAAGGATTTAAATATGCTGCAGCTAAAAAAAAAAAAAAAAAAAAAAAGATGAATTTATCTGTCAATATCTTTCTAATAAAGAAAATACATATAGATAAACTTGTAATAAGTAAAAAAGCTGTAAAATCTATTAGAAAAGATCAATAAATTAAATCGTTACAAATAGCATAGGTTGTAAGAAACTAATTATTTTAATTTATAGCATATATAATTTATATGTAGATAAGTATTACTTAAAATCATATTATTATAGAAAAAAGCTAAATGTCTTAAAAAAATCTGTTGAAAAATTTGCCTTAAAAAAATCTGTCTTAGAAAAAATTAATTGAAAAAATAAGAGCAAAATACTAGCAAAATAGCAAATTAATTCTTTTAAATTGCTAAAACATTTTTTCAAATAATTTGTCTTAAATGTTTTGAAAAAATCAAACTTTTTTACTTTTTTACTTTTTTTTTAATAAGTATATCATATATTATATAAGACAAATCATAATTTTTTTTAGAACTTTATTTTAAAATACCTAAAATATAAATACTTTTTCTTAATGAACTCTACCTTAAAAAATGATCCAATAAAATTTCTGCTTTAAGATGCTTAAAAATTATTATACTCACTTATTATTTTAAACTATAAATGGATTTTAGAAATATTTACAATATTTTAAAAATATATTTTATAAATATTACAAATAAATATAATTATTATTTATTAAAAATGGAATATAATGGGCTAATGGCATATTTATTAGTTAAATTAGACTATTATAATAATAATCTTTTTTAATATAATTATATTAAAGAAATTCAAGCAACTTTTATATATATAAATCCATTATTTATAAATAAAATTTATAAAATGCAAAATTACAAATAACTTCTAATTTAATAATTAAATTTTAATAAAATTTAAAAAATTTAACAATTATTAGATTTATCTCAATAAGATAAATTGAATAGTGCTTTTTACAATATAGAATTCTAAATATTTTTAAAACAAGTTATAAGTTACACTTTTAGTAAAATTAGTAAAATAGCCTATTTTTTAAAAAGTTAAAAATTAGTATTATGCAATTTTTTTGGATTTTGTAGTTCTTATTAAACTTTACAATTAAAAAAAGTTTATCAAAATTGGATTACTGAATGCTGAGAAAGTTGCAAAAAAAGATGAATTTAACCAAAAGTTCATTATAATTTTATATATTAGATATTTGAATTCTATTATATTATATATTATCTATTATAAATCATATAATTAATTGTATTTTTAGCATATATTTAAGCAAACTTTTTTTAAATACTTTTATAAATAAAATTATTAGTTTTTTTTTTAAAACAAAAAATTTAAATTTTAATAAATTACATAATATGGTAAAATTATTACAAGTGAATTTTACTCCTAGTAAGCATTAAAATCATTCTATATATATATATATAAAAAATAGATTTTAGCAAAGTAAATTTCAATGAAATGTACTTACTTACCATCTTAATTTAAATATTTGCAATTTACTTATTTGTTTTATTTGTTTATTTATTCAATTAAAGCCAATTATTTAGACATCATTTTTAATAATTGATTAAATGAATAGTTGCTATAAAATAATAATTAATGAAAATTTTTGATAGGCCAGTATAAAGAAAAATAGCAAAAAAAGAAAGAAGGTATAATTAAAAAATCCTTAAAAGAGAAAAATAATAATTAGATAATGTAAATATTGTTCTACCAAGTTTTTCTTTGTCCTTTGATATTAAATATTCCAAAAAATAGATGATATTATTGCGCCATGATGAAATTTTTTAACCCGTTTTTGTAGTATTATATTTTATCGATTGAAAAATATCAAGTTTTGGTGGCTTTGAAACTTTAATAAACAGCGAAACGTGGAAAAAATGCACAGCCCTAATTGCTATTTTGCTGAAAATCGATCCTTTAAAAATTAGTTTAATGGATTTAATGGATTTTAATAAAAGTTGGTATGATAATTTCTCTATTGAGAATGGAATATTAGATATACCATACGAACAAATTAATAAAGAACGAACAAGAATAGGATTTGGTAAATACGGCATCGTTTATAAAACCACATGTAATTTGTTTGGAGACATAGCTGTTAAAGAATTTTATATCAATGATCAAGAATATATCGAGAATTTCATTAATGAGGTATGTAAATTATTATTTTTTTTTTTGAAATTCTAAATTTGAATCGAATTCATTTTTTTAGGTGAGAATTCACAATCTCGCGCGACATAAAAGAATAATTCAATTTTATGGAATAAGTCGAGGTTAGTTAAAAATTTTTTTTTCTTAATAAGGTCACTTCAATTAATTAATTTTATATATTTATCTCCAAGACGCGGAAAAAAAATTATATTATATTGTGATGGAATATGCGAATCATGGAACATTACGCGATTTCCTAAGCAAGAGAAATTCAATGGATTTAAAAGAAAGAATTCGTCTTGTAACTCAAATATCTGAAGGACTTTCTTACCTTCACAATAAATTAAATATTTCTCACCAAGATCTGGTAAATATTAAAAATTATGTGCCAATTCATACATTTACAGATTTATTCACACTTTTATTATATAAAACAGCACACGAAAAATATCCTTGTAAAAAATGGGAACATTAAAATATCAGATTTTGGAAAATCCAAATGCTTCAAGCACATAAATAATTTTAGTTCAAATAAAATATTTAATAGCTCATCATTCACTTTGTATAAAGTATCTGATATTCATAGTTTAGGTGTTATTATATTAGAACTTTCTAATTATCGTAAAACATTACATAAAGAACAACTCTCAAGTAAAATATGTTTAAAGGAAGATCGTTTGGAAATACGCGAAAAATCAAGGATGATTTCAAATTTACAATTGAAACCACTTGAACCAGTTTACTTAAACAATGACAAGAAAAGTTACATCTATTCTTACGATTTTTAAAGTATTGAAAAAAATGTGTGTAGGTCACGTGAAATTTATTGAAAATTTTTATAAATTAATAAATATATAGAATTGAAATTGATTTACGTAATTATAATTTACGTTAAAAAAGTACTTCAAATTGCTCGTTGAGAGTCCTAACCAATTAAACATTTGAGGGCGCTCTGCCGTAAGTATATTGACAATTTTGATTTAGATCGGGAATATATTTTGAAAATGCCAAGAAAAAATGTGAATGCATAAATGCACCGATTAACTTTATTTATATTGAGTAACCTGTTCGCATAAAGCAGAAAGAAAATTTTTAGATGGGCGACTGATCTTCGATCTTAGGCGTAATGCGATTAACCCTTTTAATATCTAAACTATACTTCAATCACCTGATTTGTCGTTTTATCATAATAGTGAGTAGGTATTAATCTAAATATAGCGAGTTTGAACATCAATTGTTTCTAAAAATAAAAATAAAAAAATAGATGTATTTTATTTGAATGAAAATAATTATGTAAATTTTTTTTTAATAATTTAAGCAACTTACCAACATATGAGCTTGCTCAACTGTAAGTTGATCACCATATTTACAAATCGTATGATCTTGATCTAAAACCAAAAAACCTTGCTCCAGCCTAATAGACATTCCTAAACTTTCCAATATTGGTTTCTGAGTAGGTATTACATATTCACCAGTATTATGATATCTTATTTTTCCGGCTGGAATAACTATATCTTGATCAACAAGTCCTCCAGCTCTAGCATAATCATCAAATTGCGTCTTTGAAAAATAAGAACGAACGTCATCTACTTGTTCGTTCGTAAACAAGATTCCTGCATTACCGACCAATTCCTTTTATAAGGAAAATTGTTTTAATTTAACATAAAATTTTATCGTATAAACTAAAGGTTCTTTTAAAAATTAAATTTACTTGTGAAAATTTGGATAAATTCAACTCCTGTTCTTCCTGTTCATCTCTACCCAATGCTTTTATAATGATCTTATTCTTGGTGAAGAACAGTCTTTTTTGCAAATTAAAAATTAATATTAATTTATAAACAATAATTAAAATAACGAACTCCTATATAAAATTATTAACTTACTTTCCCTTATCTTTCCAATCTGCTCGAATTTGTTGTAAATATGTGTTTCTCATATCCTCAGGTACTATCCTCCATATATATGTATATTGGGATAAACATTCTTGAATCTATTTAAATTTAAGTAAACATTTGTGGAAATAAAAATTTTATGAGAAAGAAGTTGCGATGAGTAAATATGGTTAATCGAATTTATTTTGTAAAAAAAAAAAAATATTAATATCAGACAACAAACATTAGCGATAGCTTTAGTTTTAGCCTCACGAGTTTTCTTTTGAGTCTCAGTTAAATAAACTGTTAAAACAATAGTTGGTTTAATCAACTGAAGTTTTACCTGTCTATTAACAAAAATATAAATTTTGATATTTACTGTTCTGTTTCTTTCTTCTTGATTTCGGCATTATGTGAATTAGATGAAAAAAATTTTTTTATAGTTACAGTTTTTTTTTTTGACAATTAGATGTTACAGTGTTGTTACACAGTTTGCGAAATATCATTTGGTATAAACGTCACCACTACAGATTTTGTGTAATGGAATCAAAATTTATTTTATAGCTTAAAAATATTAAATTAAATGATACAACTATATGATAACTTAAAAAGAAATGTGGAAAATTAGCATGCATATTATGATGTTTAATAAAATGTCTTGTTTTTTTTTAAAAAAAAACGAAGTTTTATAAAGACGCGAAATTTCGCAAGAAAAACGCATCAAATTATATTCTAATCTAGGAAAGGATTAAATTTCTTTCCACCTCTTCTATTAGAATTAGAATGAGAACCCAAATCGTCAGTTGTTTCGTCTTTTCCGCTTTCACCTTCAAATATTTCTCGTTCAACGTCTTTTTCAACATTTTCAGCTTCCTCTATATCCTTTTCACCTTTAATCACTTTCATATAATCAATATCACAAACATGTTGACTTAAAAATTGTTCCAAATAATTTATTCTCTCCGTTATAGTTTCGTCAATACTTGGCAATTCTAAAAGTGGGATTGATTTTGGATACTGTTTGTGAAGTTCGTTTTTAACTCGTCTTCGAATACAACAGGTTTGAAATATTCCCCATGGACGAATTGGCGAGAACCCTATGAAATTATAAAGAGAAGGAATTTTGTTAAATAAATAAAATAAATTATAAAATATCAAGAATATGAAACTTACCAAAAATTAAAACATAAAGTCCTGCTAAGATTCCATAAAATCCAGCAAGCATACTCATTGAATCCAAAATCTACAAATGAAAAAAGACATCAGCAACATACACAAAAACCTTCATTAAACTTAAATTTAAGTAAATTAAAAATACTTACTCGGCGCGTTCTAATTTTGTCATTTGTTATTTTTGATAAATATGCATTAGTATTTGATATTTATGTTTAAATAAAGAATTAGTTAAATGATTTTTTACCTAGATTCAGTTTCAACTTCTTGAAACCAATTCAAAGTTCCGATGAAAAGATTTGCATATTTCTGTTGACCCGTTATAGGCTGACCAGCGAATTCTATCATATCAGGTGCTGTAACCGATTCTAAATAAATTCGAGATTATGTTTAATTCTTTTGTTTCCTTTTTTTTAACAAAAAAATTATAAATAAATAATTATATTCTAACCGTATTTAGAAGTTAGGTAAGGTTCTTCGAAATATGTTGGCGGAAACCCCAAAACACTAAAAAAATTTGTAATCATTTTTTTCTTTATATGCCTATTTATAAACATCCAATTAATCTAATAAAAATAAAATATTAGCAATTAATTATAAAAAATTTCTTTTTTCTTTAAAAAAAAAATATCTTACTTGTTGAAATCCAATAACGTGATAATTTAATTCATCCAACTTGGCATAAAAATTTGGATCCAATTTTAATGCTTGATCATGAACCCTTTGTGGTACAGTACGAGGATTAAAATCAGAATCATGAACTTTTACAAACATTCCCGCATCATTTTCTCTTAAATATCTTGGATCATCAATATTTATTGTAAAGTAAACCCCATATAACTTTTCAGACATGTTAAATTTTAGTCGACCGTCAATTGAAGTAAACCAACCATGCCATCGTTGATCCTCAGAATTTTGATCACATGATGGTTGTGTGACCAAATCTTCGTCACATGGTGTTGGTGTCTTTCCATCTAAACAGGAAGAAGTTTTTCGTTAGAAGAAAGACCAAAAAATTTTATGGAACCATTTTGCGTGATACGAAAGAAACAACAAATTACAAAAGAAAAATAAAAATACTTACCTAGATATCGAACTTCACACGTAATATTAAAATGATAATTAAACGTAATCTCCACATCTTTTTTTAAAATCATTTAGTAATTAGAAATGGAAATTTCTTTGGGTATTAAACTTACAAAAAAACCGGTAATAAATCAGCAATCGATTTACCTGGGACAGGTATTATTTCTGCTGGTTGTAATTGACTCATCATAATACCTTTATCTAATGCAATCAATGCTGTCAAAATAGCAAAATAACCTCCTAATATAGCCACAAGAATAAATAATGCAGTTGCCCTTGCTGATACTAATACAACAGGTTCCGTTTTTCGATATTTTCGAATGATGTCTTGGATTTCATTAATAAATTCCATATTTACTTAATAATTTTAAAATCGGATTTTTTGAGAGTAATTTCTAAATGATAATTTCATAAAATAAAATGACTAATAAACCGCTCTTAAAGGAACTGTAACAAGTTGAAAGCAACAAGAGAGAGGCGGTGAAAAATTCTTGTGATAGTAGTAAGCAACTATATATCAAGGATTTACATAATGCAAAATATGCAGCATAAATTAAAATAGTATATTTGACAACGTATAAGCGATTATTACTATTTTTAAATATTTATTTTTTGTAACATGGCGCTTTCCATATTTGCATTGACACAGATCAATCTTCAATGCAATATTGTGTAAATTCTAATGCTTCATATAGTAATGTAGTTTAGCACACTTTTTCTATATCGGAAATTACCTCTTTTAACCACCGCACTTACCTTTTATATATATCTTTTAATAAAATTATTTATCAATGATATTTTTGCGAACCGAAACTAAAATCTTGGCGTTCATTCGTCCAGAACTTTGTCCTATGCTGATTTATTTACAAAAGAATTTTGTACAGGTTGTAATGTACCACGATGCTAATAATATCATTTAAAAATTCTTTATTTGGTTAATTATGAAGGATTGGCGCTTGCTAAAATTATTATTTTTTTAGTCAGTTTAATCATCTTAAAATTTCCACAATACTTAATATTTATAAATTTCTTAGGTGCGATGAAATCATTTTTTTTTTTTTAGTGAAAAATCTTAATTAATAATAGATAAAAAATCTTTAAATCGAAAATCTATTTATTTATGACGGATTATTTCTATTATTTTAAATTTTAGTAATTTCGAATCAACGAAAGTGTGTCTCAAATTCTCAATGGTCTCCATTGATCTACAAGACTTCAATGAAATATTATTTGGTTAAAATAAATTAATTTGTGTTATTCTCAATGTTGTTCTTTTTACTTTTGAGAATAAATAGATTTTAAAAGGAGTTTTTTTTTTACTTAGATAGCATAACTATTATTTTACGCGATTAATGAAAAAAATTTAAGCGAAGAATAACTGGCGCAAAGTTGTTAATAATAATACTATTTATTATTTCCTTATTTAATCAAGTTCATAATTATAATAATAATTTTTACTAACCATAATTGTGCAGTATTACACAACATAAATTCTATTTTATAACTTTTTATATTTCATTCATTGTTATTTTTCAACATGTGGATCAACTTTTTTTGTGAAACTAATTTTTAATGAATTCTTTTGGTTACACTACATAATTTTTTGAAATTAAAATAATATTGAATAATTTCCCTTTTTTTCTCCTTACCACTTTCTTCTTTCCTTTTCTTTTAAGACGGTCTATTTTTTTTTTAAAAAAAAAGAAAAATTAATGATATGCTAAAACTAAAACGGCTGCTTTAAAGATTGAAAGAAAAGAGTGGAATCGATAATTTTAAGAGTTATTTAATATAATCAAAAATGACGAAATTTGTTCGTGAACCCCGAGAAATACTAAAAAAATATCGAAAAACCGAACCTGGTTTATTAGTATTTGTTAGAGGATTATGTTTATCAATTTTATTATTCATATTATTTATTTATTTTGCTATATTAATGTTTTTTGTTGCCACCGATCAACCTGTTTTATCGAAGATTTTGATTCCTAAATCTTATATTCTTGCACCTGGTAAGGGAAATCACGTGACAAAATATACGCGTCCTGAATTATTAATTTTTAATTTCTTTGATCTTGTAATTTAGTTGTAAAGATCTCATCAAAATATGCATTTAGTATTACATGTGAATACAATTATCTCGGTAAATTTAAAATTTATTCATTCAATATTCTTTCCATCCATTTGTGATTACATTTTCTAACCTCATTGAATAATTAATATAGATCTTCGAACACCAACGGATGAAGATAGAGCAAATTGTAACAAATATATTGTACCAACAGAATGTAAAGAACAAGATCCAAATAATGTATTTGTTGGACATTGTGTAGGATTATTTAATCCTCCGATTCAAGATAAATTTAATTTTAGTTTACCTGACAAAAGATATGGAATTTCTTTTTTAATCACTATTACCGATGAAGCATATAATGCTACCGATGATAATGGAATGCAAGTTAGAGTTTATGATCAATGTAAGTGATTTGACATCATAAACCTTTATTATTATTTTTTTTTTTAAAAAAGAAAATTGGTATAACTTTAACTTTCATAACTTTTTAATTATTGTTTCTTTTTCATAGTATTTAATCCTTCTCAATTATCTGATTCTGTTAGAAAAATAATTAGTCGCCTTGATCCATACTTTTTAGATAGATTAGAAAATTTAAATTTTCATGTTATGGGTTATCATCAGGTAATTTATTTCAATTAAAATCGTAACTTAAATATATCTTTATTAATTTACTAATTATATGTATTAAATAGGTTAATAAAATGTATGTTAGTAGAAAAACGAAAAGGTTTCAAATTCCAACATTCTTTTCTGTATTAGGTATACCACCAACATATTTTCCTCAACCATTCATAGAGTCAAATTATGGTAAGATAAGATAATTAATTAGTCTTCTCATTTAATAATAATTCACTCATTAAGTAAATTAATTCTTTTTTTTTTTTTATAGAATCAGTACAAATTCCTGGTGTAGTTTCAAGTTTTACTAGAAATACGTATGGAAGTTTATTTGTTGGTACTCTAGATTGGACTGAAGAAATTCAAACTGAACTCAGGTAAGAGAATTTTATTCTTTATGAAAATTTATCTATCATAAAAGAAATTAATTCCCACTTTTTCTTTTTAATTATGTTCATAACAGGTCTTCAAATGTAAGGAGAATTAATTTTTTTGTATGATTATTATTATTCAACAAATATTTACGCATAATTTTATAATGTATAGGTATTGGACTCATTTGCGTTATTATCTGCATTTTATGGATTACTAGTGGGAGTATATGTTTGTCTATTTGGTAAGAACTTATATATTTTTGACATATTTTCATAAAATTCATTTTCTCACAACTCCTAATTTTTTTTTATTTTTAGGTTGGTCTGCTATATTACCGTGGGGAATTTGTCAAACAACATGTTGTAAACGTAAATCAAAGTCAAATTTACGTGAAAAATTCCCAAGAGGAATACCAATTATTTCACCTCTTCGTTCAGATCAACCAAAATTAGATCGTTTAGAAGCATTAGAAAAATTTATTAAATTATTTTTAGTTAATGTAGAAGGTCAGGCTAAGCCTGAATCAAAACCACCAAACATTGAAGATGGTGAAGAAATAATTCCCGATAAAGAAAAGCCAAAATTTAGACCTTTATCTTTCTTATCGGTTCTTAATACAGCCCCTATGACAAGACCAAATTCAAGGCCTCAAACAAGACCTGTTTCTACCAATACTCAAGAAAATGAAGTTACTCCTAATGTACCTCCTATACCTGAAGCTAAAGGAAATCTTACTACTGCTAATGCTCCTCCAAACAATCGTTTATCTTTTTTCCTGTCAAAATTTCCAAAATCTGAATCTCCCGGCAAGAAAACTCTGTCTCCTAATGATACTTTATCAACTACAAACGATTTACCAACGGAATCAGAAACTGGTATATCATCATCTGCTCCAAATAATAAAGTTCCAAATAGTACAAATTTACCAACTGGGTCAGGAACCGATATTTCACCAGCAATTCCATATACAGGAGCTCCGGATGGTAAATCATCTACTAGTAAGAATTTACCGACTAAATCGGAAACTGGCGGATCACCAACTGCTCCAAATAAAATAATTCCAGATAGTAAAAATTTACCAACTGGATCAGGAACTGATATTTCACCAGAAATTCCATATACAGGAGCTCCGGATGGTAAATCATCTGCTAGTAAGAATTTACCGACTAAATCGGAAACTGGTGCATCACCAACTGCTCCAAATAAAATAATTCCAGATAGTAAAAATTTACCAACTGGATCAGGAACTGATATCTCATCAGAAATTCCATATACAGATGCTCTGGATAGTAAATCATCCACTACAAAAAATGTACCAATTGAATCAGAAACTGGTATATCATTAATAGCTCCAAATGTTAATGAAAATAATGGCTTATTGTTGTTGCCTAAAGAATCTGAAAAAGATGTTGATTCATTATCATTTGAAAATGGTGAAAATATAAGAAAATCAATAATATATGTTAATGAACAAGATAATTCACTTGCACCTGAAGAAGTTGTCAATATAAGAAAATCAGTAATATATGTTGATGAAAAAGGAAATTCACTTAAACCTGAAGAGGCTGAAAATATAAGGAAATCAGTAGTATATGTTGATGAAAAAGGGAAAACACTTACACCTGAAGAAGCTGAAAATATAAGAAAATCAGTAATATATGTTGATGAAGAAGGGAATCCACTTGCACCTGAAGAAGCTGAAAATATAAGAAAATCAATAGAATATGTTGATGAAGAAGGGAATCTACTCACACCTGAAGAGGCTGAAAATATAAGAAATTCAGTAATATATGTTGATGAGGAAGGGAATTCACTTACACCTGAAGAAGCTGAAAATATAAGAAATTCAGTAATATATGTAGATGAAGAAGGGAATCCACTTACACCTGAAGAAGTTGAAAGTATAAGAAAATCAATAGAATATGTTGACGAAGAAGGGAATCCAATTACACCTGAAGAAGTTGAAAACATAAGAAAGTCAGTGGTATATGTTGATGAAAAAGGGAATCCACTTACATCTGAGGAAGTTGAAAGTATAAGAAATTCAGCAATTATTATGGAAGATAATGAAGAAGTTGAAGAATTAAATCAAGAAGTATATGTAGGCGAAGGATCATCAAAAAGTGCAAAGAAATATAATCTGAAAGATTCGGTTACAAATCAAGATGAAACTATCAACACAGAAGCTATACCTGTTACATCTAGTTCTTCAAAATCAACTTTATTATTACCTATTAAACTTAAAAAACTCTTTAAGAAAAATAAAAAATGAAGTATTAGAAATTAAATTAATCATTTAGTATTAGATTTATAATTTATAATGTTTTAAAGTTGTCGATTTTGCTTGTATTATTAGGTTAAATGATTATTATGAATTTTGATAATAGCATAGATAACTATAAATTAGACTAGGCGGAGTAAATTTTTATTATGTAATTTAATTTAGAAGTAGTTAGTACTTTATCTGTCCTATTCGAAAGTGAAGGTAAATGTGATTTTTATTGTTTGAAATAAATTAATATTTTGTGAGATAACCTAGACCTCAGATAAAAAATAAAATTTGATTCGTAAGGTATTTTATCCTTCGATAATCTTAATAATTTTTTCTTGGCTTTACATTTTTTACATTTTTGGTTTGATTCCGCTATTTCTTTAACCAATAGTGTTATTACATCAGCCAGGTTGTACGGAGAGACAGTTTTTATTTGGTCAATGAATGGAAGATTCATCTGCGACCTTATTATTTTAATATTGTCAAGAACTTCCATTTGACCGACGAATTAACAGCTTGGGATAAAATCTATTATAAAAAACCGTGACTAATTAATAAAATTGAATTTACCTTGCGCTTTTTATCTCTTCGCCCCGTTAACACTAAAAAATTTATAATAAAGTAAAATCTGATATATTTTGCCATACTAATCCAAATGTTTATTCAAAGATGTCGTGTAAAAATTGAATAGTTTGAGTGAAATCAATACAAAATTATTAATAGAACTACTTTGACTTTTTATAGGTCTGAATTCTAGTAAATAGATCAACCGATTTGTAAAAAGTTAATTAAATCAATTTGTATAATAATAATATTTGTACTAATACAATAAATATTTAATAAACATAATCGAGAAATCAGTTCCCATCCACCAAAAAAATAAATATACTTAATAAAATCCATTGAATAGAAATTACAGCAATTTGATTATAAACAACGAATTTGATTTAAGAATAATAACATGTGCATTTTCAATAGAAGCCATTTGTACACCAATTATTTCTGGATCGCCACTAGTGCTGGCAGTTAATTCCACTACAGATTGTTCATCATGTTTCTCACGACCTTCGTGACGCATATAAACAAAAGCTCGATGATCTCCTTCAAGAATTATTACGAACCGATATTTCGGATCATGAAACATAAAACGCTTTTCCCTTTTAGAAGCTTGAACAAATGCGAATGCATTAAAAGTTGCTATATGAGTTATAACTAAAGGTGATACATCTAACTTGGAAGAATCAATTGGATGTCCGATTGAATACACAGTCCCATCGACATCGGATTTCAGACAAACAGAAGGTAATACCGAAATATTGTTTGATATCTCGACATTTTCACACCATTCAAATTGTCTACAAAGATATTCATTACCAGATGATTTTGCTATTAAATCTCCTTCGCGTTCAAACCACATAAAAACGGATGATTTTCCTTCGAAATCGATGGATTCTTCCGTTTCATGACCTATCAGATGTTGAAGAGGCTTGAAAGCTCCTGATTGGTCCGATTGCTCATTAGTATCTTGAATTGGATCAGAGGTGAATTTTTCCAACCGTTCACGGAATTCAGCAAATTCGTTTGGATCAAGAGTTTCAAAAACTCCATCATCATGTTGGAAAACATGTGACCAACGCGTATTATGATTATGCTTTTCTAGGTGTAGAGTGAGTAAACCAATTGTTGGCTCAATAGTCCATAAAGAAACACTTGGATCAATTAAATCAAATAGACGAGTAAATGCATAACAAGGAATTGGTGGCTGTCCAGGTGAAACATTAGGATTATCGTCGAGATTAATTGTTAATGAAAGATGAGTTTGAGAAAAATTGCAATGAATGGCAGTTTTTGGTGTTCCTTTTGGTAATTGAAAACAGATAGTAACATCCGAAGAAGTTTGTGTCCAAATATATGGTGATACTCTATTTGTTGACTTTTCTTCTTGTTCCTCGGTAATTTGATCATCATCAATATCCATTGGCTTTATGTTTTCATTTTGAGTTGATGATTTATATACTACTTCATATTCCATATTGCTACCAATCACATATCCTGTCCCATTAAATTCAATATTACAATAAAAAGGAATTTCGGGTCCACGGATTACGTGAATAATTTTCATTTCATATTGTGGTGACATGGAAAGTTGCAATAAGCTAACATCAAATAAAACTTTTCGCGTTTCTTTTGTCGACTCGCTTGAAATTGGGTCTAAAACAGTATTATAAACTAAAAAAAGAATATGTGGATGCTCGTCTACTATAATTTTACCATCGAGTAAAACACATGGTATATCATTTAAACCAGATCCTTGTTTTAATTCTGAATGTCCTTGAAATTCAATTTGATATAAAATTTCGCCAGAATATGTACTCACATTATCATTATTATTAATTTGAACAAGAAAAATAATCCCAGATCCATTCGTTACAAGTAATAAATTTGGTGAGAGAGCTCGTAAAGAAGGATAATTAGGGTATAAATGATGAGAAGAATTTTCTTCAACATTTCCAGAATAATCTGATGTTTGTTGGATCTTTAGAAGACGGTGAGTTACGACTTTACTTGTTTCCTAAACATCCAATCAAATCGTTTATTAAAATGCTTGATTAATTTAAAATTATCAATGAAGAAAATAATATCTTCTAATACCGGATCATATTCCGCCAAAATTACAAAATTTTCAGAATCAAAGTAAAAACAAATTCCCTTTCCTTTATTAATTTCAAAGCCTTTAAATAAATGATTAAAATGGATTATACTTTGAATTTCTTTATATGATAATTTTAAATTTGTTGGTATTTTAGGTATGGTTATTGCAGGCAACGGAAGTTGAAAGTGTATTAAGTGTGACTTTTCATCAAATACTTTCAGCTTATATCCTTCAAATTTTGAGTTTATAAGGGTTCGAATCGGTTTTATAGGAACTGTATATTTCGGCACGTTTTTCGACATTCTTAGATTTTAAAGAGTTGGTTATCTCACATCAAATTAGATAATCGCATAATAGTGAAATGGGTTAAATCATGTGACCAATAGTATTTTCATTTACGATTATTATTTACATGAGATTATTATATTAATTTAATTTAATAATAGGGAGGTTTCAATTAAATATGATCGAAATCATCATAGTTTATGTTATCGATTATAGAAACGTTCAATTTTTTTACGTCAGATTTTGGACCTGCTTTGACGCGCTTATTCTTGCGTGAATTTTTATCTGTACAAATGGGGGAGGATTCACCAGCAGAAGAAAGATGCTCAATATGATTCGAAGTTTTATCTTCACCATCCTTTTCGCGAAGTCTTTTAAGTCTTGTGGTTTTTTTAAGTCGAGTATTCTTATTTTTTTCAGATTTTTCAATGGTATTTGATTGTAGTGATTCCCAGACCTTTTTAAACATTTCAACCTATTATAAAATTAAATAACGATTTTATAACTGATAACTTTATAAAAAATAAATGTCGCATGAATTTTAATTTCATTCATTACTTACTTCTTCTTCATCCCTCATGTATTCGTCCAATTCAGCTTCGTCAAATTCTATATCACCATTATTATTTTGTTCATTCCGTTCATTAATATTATCAGTAAAACTTGAAGCGAAACCTGATGTGTCTGTGGAAGTTAAAATCACTCCTGTACTATTTTCAGCCGATTCATTGTAAACAGGATCATTATTTTCAACGTTTACATCTCCTTTATCTTTTCCTTTTCCTTTTCCTTTTAAACGACTTTTCAATATCCATTCTTGAAATTGTACAAGGTCAGTAACATATAAATAACTTCTAGACTTGTTTTCTTTGGCATGGGTACACCAAGGTATAATATTAATAACCTTATGATAAATTACATCAAGAAGTTCCCTATATCTTTCAAACAATACAAAATGACAATCCACCATAAATATTTTACTTATAGTATGTATCACATTCTTTCGACTTTTCTTTACTTCCTGAACGCTAGGCTTTTCCGTTGCTTCAATCGCAAGCAAAGAAATTGCGGCACCAAGGAATGAAGGTTGTCTTCCACTTAAAATAAAAGCATCATTGGCGTATTTGAGGAGTTCCATACATATTCCAGTAAAAACTACACGATATATTTTTATCATTTTTTCTCGATATTCTTCAGATTCCATATTATTTGTGTTATTTGGTAAATCTATTTCTTTACGTTTTTCATAAACGTGAATATCTTCTTTAAGATGACAAATTTGTTTTATATCGGTGTATAAAGGGAAATTAATTTTATGTTTTTCATCTTCAAACATTATTCCAATTGACCTGATAATCAAATCTTCAACGCTGACGAAATTTGTAACATTTGGCGCGAATTTAGATCGAATCATAAACAAAACTTCGCAAAGACGACTCAGATCTAACTCCAATAAGTACTAAAATACAAATACAAATATAATATAAAGATATGCATATATAATGTAAAAGTTTTGAAGAAATAAAAAAAAATAGATAAACATTTACAACATACCGCGATTTCTCTCAATGTTCTCGGTATCTTTTCTTCTCTAAGTACTAATAACGCACAAGCAGCAATCACGTAATGTAAAAGTTTTCCTTCTCCAATTATGAAATTTTTATCAACAGCGTTATAATATGTAATAACGCGCGTCTTAAGATCTAAAAGGTCAAGCGTCGAAAGTGTTTGATTAAGTATTGGCTCAACCTGCAAGTTTAATATTTTAATTAAATCCAAACGATATTGATCAATTCAAAATTAACGATATGTAAAATTAACTTACAAGTGGATTCTTCTTTTCTGTCCCCGGATCTTGGGTGCCTCCGTCTATGGTTTCAGGTCTGAATGTGCGACCATCATACAAGTCTATAAAGGGTAAATAATGTCCAGTCAACAAACTAAAATTCAATTTAATAATTGAATAGTAAGAATAACTACTTGCCAGATCTGTCAGGGACGATTTCTCCTTGCTGTTCAAATATATCGTTCAATACTATTCCACAATCTCTGCAAACCTTATTTCCTTCGAAAGTTTCTGTATGATTATGAGTACAGTCTTCAAAATTCATATTGTATACTGTACTTGTAGGGTTGAATTCAAAAATTTTGAATGAAAATTATTGAACTCCTCTTATGTTACGGAGTAATATTATTATAATTTTACAAAAATTTAAAAGTTTGTTTTTAATCATTGTTGATAAATCATACCAGTAAACAATGGTAACAATTTATGGAAATTTCAGTCGTGTAAAAAATCTTGTACACGTATGACGATTTCTTCTCAAAAGTGAAAGAATCCATTTTATGGAAAAATTGAAAAATTGAAAATTTTCTTCTTTTACACTTTTTTTAGACAAGTTCATATGTAGTTTGATTTCTTTTTTTTCGAACCTTAAATATAAATTCCTATATTATTACTTTTTTATTTTTATTTTTGCACAATTTTAGTATTATTTTCATTCTATTTATATTATATACTATTTAAAAAAAAGATTGTTTTATTTGTAGACATCGCACAATAATTGTTTTTGAGAATTAAAATATTTTTTAATAGTTTTTTTAAAGAAAATAGATATATTACTAAAACAATATTCTCCAAAAAATTTTTGTATAATAATAAAAAAAAATCTTTGAAATATATATAGAGTATATTTATATATACAAAATGAACAAAGTTATAATTTATAAATAATAAAAAACATGAAATAATGAATTGAAAAAGAGGTATGTATATATATTAATTAGAATTCAAGTATGAGTTCTTGAAGGCAATAATAAATAAAACAAAAGTTTTGTATGTAATATTTTTTCTATTTCACTTTAAAAGTGAAGATAAAATGCATTGAATAAATTAAAAATGTAGTAGTTTCAAATGAAATGCGTGAAAGTGTTTTGAACACCAAAAAATCTGTTATTATAAGAGTAACATTTGACACTAACTAAATCCACCTTTTGAGACTACTTAGTTTTTTAACTGGAATTATTAGTTATATTCAAATTTTGATTATTATTCTGATTCACACCTTCATTTAGAGCATCCAATATCCTTTGATTTTCTGAAAACACTTCATACATAGAATCACGTTCTGTAAAGTTCCTTACAGTTAATCGATGCAATCTTTGTGACTCGAGTGAATCCATTTCTGGAACAGTATCATTATCTGCAAATTCTACATGAAGACCTGAAGGTGAATTAGGTCGATGAAATCCATTTGGAGCAGGTAAACGTGGTGAAACAGGTGCTGAAACAGGTGCTGAACGTATCGACGAATTAGGCGGTGAAGAGGTAGATTCATCTGCCGAAGAAGATTCAGCATCATCATCATCTGCTTGAAGAGCAAGATCATTTACTTCTTCCTCGTCTGAAGAATCATCTCGCTTTAAAGTTTTAGAAACTGTTAATTTCCTTTCCAAACCAACCACATTTTCTGGTGCACCATCCATATAATGCATACTATTACGATTACTCCTTCCAGTAACATCTTCACGAATATTTCTGTTTCGTAAAGCGGTTATTGGTGATAAGGCAGTAGGTGAAATAGGATCGCTATCAGAACCAACTTTCGTCGCAGGTTGCGAAGTATCCACTGATACATTATTTTCATCCACCTCAGAACTGGATCGCTCATTTTCATTTGTCTCAGATGGTGGTGCCTCCATAGTTCTAGGTGCAGCTGTACCGTTACTATCAGTAAAGAAAATATAATCGAATTCAGCCATGAAAAGGCTAAAAACTCCTGCAGGAATACCCAGTGTAGGTGAGAAAACAATTCCAATATTACGAACAGTCATCTTATTGACATCTGCATTTTGTACCACACGTATCAAATGTCCAGTTAATGTTCGTAGTAATGTATAATTTGATAAAGGAAGAGCAGAGACAAGACGACCAAGTTCATTTATGCGATCTCGTCGATCAAGGAGGTCTAATAATTTAAATAATTACATTTAATATATATAATAAAAAAAATGAAGTTACTTTTTGATAAACGTAAATATGAAATTTTACTTACCAATAACATTAACAAACTCTGCATGTAACTCCCGAGTTAAAACACTTGTGGGTAACTCCCTCAGGTATAATTTCAATAAACCAGCCACAGCATGTACATCATAATATTCACCATCGCCCAATAAATCAACATCACCCTCTGTATTAAATCTATCTTTTAAGAATTTAATAGTAGCTGCTGCGCCATTTAGACGGTAAATACCTTCCTCTTCTGTAGCATTCTTTGCATCTAAATATTCGATACAACGATACACTACAGCAGGAAGTTCATACCCTTCTTTTATTCGTGCTATTGCAATGGCCTGATCCAATGGAACACCAAAAACGATTCTAGTAATATCAGGTCGTGATTCTTGATATTTTTTCTTTTCATCCTTATTACTACTACCAAACATGCTACCGAAGAAAGTTTTACGTGAACCTTTTCTCTTTTCATGATGAAAGTTATCATCAGTATGACGCTTCACATGTTGTGGTTGATTATTAGCACTCATACCAAGGACAGGTGATGACGTACTATCTCGAGGTTCAGGAGAGACCTTTCGATCCGAATCTTCACGATTAACTGACATACTACTACGTTTTACTATTGGATTCGAGGAAACACTCAACATGGACTGTTGTTGATTACCTCCAAATGAATTTTTTGATTGATCACTTGATTCTGATTGTTGTAATGAATTCGTACTAGATGATGGTGAAGATGATAATGATAATGATGATGATGGATGATGATGTGAATGATGTGAATGATGTGAACTATGGCTAATACTATCGCTTTTAGTAATACTAATACTTGATAGAGATTCGTTATTTCCTTTTCTCCTATCAGGACGAATTTCTTTTTGAGCCTGCTGAATAACGGAATCAGTTTCAATAAGCTTGGTATTTAAATCGGTTTTACCTAACTGAGAAATTGGTTGAGCGTTGACTTTTGCAATACTATCTTTTGAAAATTTCTTTTTTGAATGTTTTTTAATTTCTCGTTCTTCTTCACCAACATATTGAAGTAAAGATTCCACCCATTCGTCTCTTTCTGCATCACTCTCAGCACATAACACATGTTTTGTATGAGTAGTATTCTTAGAACCAGACTTCGGCTCCAATATTAAGAAGGCGTGTCTATAAGAATTTTCACTATCCTTTTCTGTGTCATTATTAACATTACTTTGTTGTCGTCCAATTTGTGCGTGTGTTAAACGAATAGAACCTAGATGATTTCCACCTTTCTATGAAATTTTTAAAAGTAATTTATATCAATAAAAGAACAAACAATTAATTCATTGGGTTCTTTACACTCACACTTTCATAATATTCAAGCACGGGACTATTCAACACAAAAAATCTTGATTTCCAACCGCCAAAATTCTTTCCTTTCTTTGTAAGATATCCTTCTTTAAATCCAGATTGCTAAAAATATTTAAAAGTAATTAGCTTTTGTTATTGATATGTAATCAGTAATAACTATTTAATTCATACCTGATAATCTTTTTCTTCCTGATCAATCATATTCGTACTTAAAAATTCACATAAATCTTTAGGGTCTTTTAACGGTAATGCAATAATATGTTGAAGATACTGTTCCAATGCAATCTATTGTTTTGAAAAATTAATTTTTTTAAATACTATCTATAAACAATATAACAATAACAATGAGTATTCTCTAAAAACAAACCTTTCTTTGATCTACTTTACTAGGAGCATTATTGTGGAAGAGATTTTTGTCTGGTAGTTTACCAATTTTATTTGCAGTGCCTTTATTTTGGCGTTGTTTTAACTAAAATTTCGAGAGAAAAAAAAATTAATAATTAAGTTATGAAATTTGAACACTAAATTATATTTTAACCATACTTTTGAATCCAAAGCCAAAAAGTCGGAATATAATTTTTCAACTCTCCATAATTCTTTCTCAATTCCAACAATTGTACCATCAAGAATTCTAGCTTGTCCAACTAATATCACGAATGCTAACACTTCCTTACCCTTGTCATTGGTCTTTTTATTGCTACCAATAACCTTAACAGCAATACCAGAAGCAACATCTAGGCTAAGGGATTGTTGTTTTTCAGGACGTGGTGGTAATGGAGGCATCTGTTGTTGTTGTTGTTGTTGTTGTTGTTGCTGCTGCTGTTGCTGCTGTTGTTGTTGTACGAAGCCAGGTATTTGTTGAGTCATTTGTTGTGGTGGTGGTGGTTGTGGTGATTGACCATAAGATGGATTTGTGACAATAGTAGCATCAGGAAGTGACATTTTATTTTTTCTATGTTGATTCACAGGATTATCTCTATGACCTTGGGTCATAAAAACACTATGACGATTATTTTGACCGGGTATTAATAAAGTATTAGAATTTGATCCTGGAAAATGTAATTCGGGATATTGTCCACCTCTAGGAGGAGGCATAGCAGAAACTCTAGCTCTTGGTCCAGGTTGTACGTGAGTAAAAGATTTACTAGATCTCAATTGCTTTGATTCTTTTGGAGCTAAATAAGCACCGCTAAGGTTTGAATCACTATTATTATGCGTCAAAGAGTCTCTCTTTGATTTTATTTGATCCTCTTCAGAATTATTATTACCAGACACTGATATTGATGGTTGTTCATGAGATGGTAATGATTGTGATCTAACAGGTAAATTTTTATCTAATGTAGCAACCGGTAAAATTTTGGGAAGATTTACATTGTCCTGATTAACTACATTATTATTGTTGGAGGAATCAAATTCACTATCATGACTAGGACTGCGTGGAGGTCTAGGTGAAGAAGGTAACCCTGGAGAACGAGGAGAACGAGGGGAACGAGGAGGAATTATTGATGATGATTCAATTGGTTCAGGAATTTTACGTTCTTTTAGTCGAGGGGATCGAGGGGATTGAGGGGATTGAGGGGATTGAGGGGATAGAGGTGGATGAGGAAATTGATCAAGAGCATCGTTTTCATTCTCATTAGGTTGTATCGTACTATTACGTTTACGAATACTAGCATCACCATTACTGCTTAAACTACCAGATTCTGAAGATTTTGTTGAAATTGTTGGGGATGGAATATTAAGAGAAGCTGAAGAATCGAAATTTTCAAAATAGTTGAGAGGAGAATTTTGAATATTTTGAATTTCCTGAGGGGAACTTGTACGTTTATCATTGAGTAATGATAATTGCCGTTGAACAGATTTTGGAGGAAGGACTGGTGGGGAAGAGGAAGGAGGTTTAACAATATTAGAAATTGTAGGAGATGAAGGAATATGGATATGAGAATTATTTATAAGGGAAGATCTTGATGGAAATGAATCATTAAATTGTGTGACGATACCATTCTCATTCATCGGTGGATTAAAATCGTTTTGTGATTGATTAATTTCAGTCTCTTGACGTTGATTTAAATTTGCATTATTAGAATCATCATTAGAAATAACTCGTGAGTTTGATCCATCATAAGCTGTCAATAGACCAGATACAGATGAATTAGTAGATACATTAGATACATCAGATAATACAGAATTTGTAGAATCTTGACGTTGTGATTGAGGTTTTAGTTCCAAATTATTGGTATTTGAAGAAATTTCTTTATCTGATAAAGATAATTGTGGGAAAGAATGTTTTGATTGATTATAATTTGATGGTAATTGACGAACAGATGATTGCGTTGAATCTCGAGATGATTTATTATTGTCCATGTTATTAGATTGTAGATTCGACACAGTAGAATCATTATTATTAATATTAATTAAATTATTAGATTCCACGGGTGTTTTACTTTCGCTTCCATTTTTCTCACTTAATAACACTTCATCCTCAGAACGACTTGAATTTAGTTTAGCAACAAGTTTATCTCTCTCACTAGCAATTCTATGATTATCTTTCTGTAAATTATTTATCACAGATTTTTGTTTTTCTATTATTTTCCACAATTGATCGTTTTGTGATCGTAATAGATTACGTTCATTTATAACTTGCTGTAAATAAGGTTCTCCAAGACTACCATCTGAACCAGTGACACGGTGACTTTCTGGTCGTGGCTGTTGTTGTGGAGGTTGTTGTGCTGACATTATAGTACCGTTTTCCATTTTTTTTTTTTTTTAAAAAACAGTACTATTATATTATTATATAATAAAATTTTAAATCTTTTTTCTTGAATTGAAAGGTAACTGTTTTTTTTTTTAAAAAAAAAAAGAAGGAAAAGCGATTAAACTTACGAGTTATTAAAAATTAGTCAAAAGAACGAAAATAATAATAATAATATATAATTAATTTTTTTACCAAAAGAGGTTCGAAGATTTTTTGATGTTGAGGTTGTAAGACCAAAACGTGTAAAATAACGAACGAATAAAATTTTTTTTTTCTTACCAAGAACTTTTTGGTAAAATGAATTAAATGAAGAAAAAAGTCAAAAAGGAAAAAAAATTAGAATAATAATATTGTAAAGAGTGTTCATGTAACCAAACACGAAAACGAAAAGTATATAAAAAAAAAATAAAAAAAAATAAAAAGTTTTTATGAGAGAGAAATAATTAAATTAATTATATATTATATAAACAGCGTGTACAAAAGAAACAAAAGAAATAAACCGTAGAAATAAGAATCATGTGACACTATAGTTGCGCGTTATTTATTTGTTGTATGTTATTATGTTATAATAAAAGTTATTTTTAAATTTAATTAAAAATTAAAATAATCGACTACATTTAATCAATTATTACGGGTTCGTTAAAAAAATAACTACTTACAGTAAAAAAAAAGTGTCCCTGTAATGACGTAAAATTAAATGATGTACGGAAAGTATTTTTATAGCAGGTGATCTTTCGCGTTGTGTTAGTTGATCACTTGGTTTTAAATTTTTTTTTTTTCTTTCTCTCTTTGAATCCAGTTCAAAATAGAGGAAAAATGAAAAAAAAAAAAATTAAAAAAAAATTTTTTTTGGGAAGAAAAAGAAAAAAAAAATGATTTCTTTTTAGGTTCAATTAACGAATTTAATATGATAACAATCCAAAAACTCTTAGCGCTTGAGCGTAATCTTTTAAAAAAAAGATCTACATTATATACAAGCCGGATTTCTTTTTTAATCCTTTATTAATAAATGATTGATAACACCATTGTTTTTTTTTTTGACAACTAACTTTTTGAATTTTTGCCATAAAGCCCTAATTCTCTAAAAATGTACAATAATCATAATGATTTACCTATCTGGGGTTTTTGATCCATAAATCATTGTTTATCAAATTATTTGTAACCTTCCAATTACCATATTTGGAGAACCAACTCACGATTTATTCGTTACTACTTGTTATGGAAAGTATAATTTACATCCTCGTGTAACTGTCACATAATTGAGTCTATTGAGAGTTAATAAGCCCATATTTGGTGTAAATTCTGTACTCATCATAAGCTGATACATTTTGCTTATCACCTTTTTTAAAAAAGATTAAAAAGAACAAAGAGTATTTGGAGTATTTGTAACCTCGGCGAAAACTGAAACGCAATTAATGATCATCACGTAATACATTTCTTATTCAAACCTTTTGAAATCGATAAGAATTTGGTACGGATCAGCGTATGATTTTTCGATTTTCGGAACACACTGTTACAACTATTAAAAAAGTACTAGTAACTTAATAATTATGTTTGTCCTATAAATAAAATAAACCACAATTACATTGCTCAATATGCATTATACTATACCTTAATAAAAAATGAGTTTGTTACGGTAAATCATCATGCAAAGTAATACAATGCCAATTATCCTATCAATTGTACACTAAATTGTTGTTATTTATTAAATGCAGTTTTGTTTAAAGAGTTTATTTATTAAAAATTCTAATTTGAAATAGTAAAACAATGATGAAGGATATAAATCATTTCAACTTCAGTTCTCCCATTCATCCTTCTTTTGGGATTTAATCTACCAGAAATATGCTAATTACTATCTTGAAACCCAGGGAATGTCACGTAGTGTTTCTTTATACAAAAATGGGTAATAATGTTAACTTATATACCTTCTTTATCTGCTTATGACGAAAGGTTTTCTGTACAATTACGAGATCTTCCTGCAACGTTGAATTCTTTATTAACATAATATCGTGGAAGTTAGAACCAATTATAAATGAAAACCTTAAAATATTCTTCATCAATCATATGTTTTTGCTTCGATTATTTTGCAAGAGTCTGTAATATGAACTGCATCCGCAATACCGCAATATGAGTGTTAAATATTATTTCATGTATATAATTTTAACACAGCAATCTGATTTGCTTTCTTTTAACTTCCTTGGATGTAAGTTGGCACCATTTTTCGTTTTCGTTGTTTTTTAAAATAGTATATGTAAGTATCTTCAACAAGTTCTTCACTTCTTTTCTAGAATATATTGAATTTAACTGATTTGTTAGTAAAATTTTATATTTAACAATTGAGATTAGGATTGTGAAGTATGACAAGACAGAATTGACAGATGCCCACAACTGAAGAAATGCGATCAGGAAATTTGTCAAATTTCCAATTAGTCGTCATTTATGAGATTCTTTTAATAATATAAAAATAATTTAATATTAAATATTTTTCAAGGAAAGATAAACAAAATTTTAAAAAGAGAGGAAAAGGTATAATTAAATATCATTTTTAAAATTTCAAATCTGGTTCAGCTCCAACAATTATTTCGACAAATAGTTTAAATAAAGTTTACGATCTTTTGTTTTAATATGCGGTAATCACATGATCGATCGATCATAAATTAACTTATAAAGTTATGACCCACAAATTCCACAAATTATAATAATTCTGGCAAAAATTATACGAGTTAATTATGATTGTGCAACATTTGAAATTTTCATTGATAGGCGGATTCCGGATTGCACATGGTCTACAGATTAGATGAGATTAACGAAGTAATATTAAGTCTCCTTTTTAGTGAAATTCATTTAATTCATTTTATCATTTGCTGTATTTATTTAAACGGGCTCATTATGTTAAAGGCGTTTGTTAGAACAACTACACCTTTTATTAATCTCGCTAAACAAGTAAAAAAGTTTTTATTTTTTTCGTCGTATGTTCTCAAAAAGAAAAGGTATTTAACACCTTTTGAATTTTCCCCCAAAGAATTTCGCTCGTGCGGCTAGCACAACTGTAACTCCAAATGAAGCTTCTATAGTAAGTTTATTTTACTTAGAACTACATTAGCCTTTTTGTGAATTACGTTAGCATTTTATAAATTTTCGATCGTGTGAATGGAAAATGAATTCAATTAAATGGTAGTATGCGACTTTATATATGGATTGAAATCAAAGGGTTAAACTTTTAAATTATAAAATCATTATTAAGATGTATGATTATTGCTAATTTAACTTAAATTAATTGATTGATTAATTAAGTTAAAAACTACCAAATATGGAGGAAAATATACTGTAACGTTGATTCCAGGAGATGGAATTGGTCAAGAAACTGCAGCTGCTGTCAAGACAATATTTAGAGCAGCCAATGTTCCGGTTGAATGGGAACAATTGGATGTTACAGGCTATACTCAAGAAGGGGATCTTTTATTTAAGCAAAGTGTGGATAGTTTAGTTAGGAACAAAGTTGCGTTGAAGGGTATGTATATATAATTATATTATTACGTTGAAAAAAAAAAAATGAAATGAAATGGAGATGAGATCGGTTATGTCGAAAAAAATTCAACCGGATGAAACGATCGTAAAAGTAAGAGTCTGATATTTTATCTTTAAAATTATAGGTATCCTATATACACCCATATCAAAATTAGGGCATCAGTCTTTTAATGTTGCTATGCGTAAAGATTTAGATATTTACGCATCTTTAGTTATCATTAAAAATCTTAAAGGTTGCCCAGCACGTCATAAAAATGTGGATTTTGCAATTATACGTGAGAACACTGAGGGTGAATATTCTGGGTTAGAACATCAGGTACGGAATAATTAATATTTGTTAATTGATTTTTTTTATATTCATATATTTTGTTTAATTAAAATATTTAAATAGTCATATCCAGGAGTTGTAGAATCTGTCAAGATTGTAACTCGAACAAAGACAGAACGTATTGCACGTTTTGCTTTTGATTTTGCTCTTAAATTTGGACGTAAAAAGGTTACTTGTGTTCATAAGGCTAATATTATGTAAAGTAAAAATTAAAGAAATAACTTAATGAAAAAAGAATTATTATTTTTCTTATTCATGCATATTTACATATTGAAATTTTTTAGGAAACTTGGAGATGGGCTTTTCCTTAACACTTGTCGTGAAGTAGCCAAAGACTACAAATCTTCAGGAATTGAATTTGATGATATGATTGTTGACAATTGTTCCATGCAATTGGTATCTAAACCTCAACAATTTGATGTGATGGTTATGCCAAATTTATATGGTAATATTGTTAGCAATGTAGGTGCAGCATTGGTTGGTGGAGCAGGTATCATTCCTGGTGCTAATATTGGTAGAGAATATGTCATATTTGAACCTGTAAGACGATGCGTTGTTTTTACTCTGCTTTGCCTTCATATCCTTCATATGTAAAAATATAACTAACTATTAGAATTAAAAATTATAGGGATGCCGTCATGTTGGAAAAGATATTCAGGGTAATAATACTGCTAACCCAACTGCATTGATTCTTTCCGGAGTTATGATGTTGCAACATTTAGGACTTAATGATTATGCTAATAGAATTAGTAATGCTGTATATAAAACAATTGAAAGCGGATCGGTATATAATCTATTTGTTATTTAACATATTAACATACTTAACGTATTCTTTTATTAATTTAGTTATTATTATTTTTTTTAGGCCAGAACACATGACATGGGCGGAGCATCTACAACAACCGATTTTACCCTTGCAGTAATTTCGAATTTGTAGTAGTAATAATTGATAAGTGGATTGATTTGATTATTTTGAATTATTCATAATAAAATATAGAAAAAGAATTATTCTATTTAAGAAATTATTAAATCTTGTTTTTCTTTAAAAAAAAATTAGTGTTATATTTTAATTTATTATTAATGTGTACTTGAAATAATTAAATATTACTATTTGATTGAATATAATCACGTGAATTAAAATACAGTCGCTATATCAAGTTTGGTATACCGATTTTTATATGTTCATAAATAAATCGCTTTATCGTGATCGCATCGGAGTTCTGACTGTAATATGCGTACAAATTTTTATTTATTTATTTATTTATTTTACGCGTACATTCAATTTGCAAACGGATTGTCGATTAATATGAAATTATTTTTAATATCGGTAATATCGGTAATTCGTTAATTTATCGGTGATTCATTAATCGTAAAAGTTATTCATAGTTTTGGCAGTGTTTTGGCCAATTGATTTTTAACATATTTGAACGTAAGACACTATGGAGAACAAAACAAAGCAGAAAGCTTTACGCAAGGATACAATGTCCAAATATGTATATATATATATTCAAGGGAATTCTGATTTCCAATGAAAATTTTACCGGAAATTGAAAACTGGAATATTGGAATATTACGGTAGTGGAATAATTGGAATCAAGATTCTTTTTTTTTATTTAGGCTGGCATTATAAAATTTGATTGAAATTAGATGACTGAAAATTAGATCTGAAAATAAAATTAGATGACTGAGAATTAGATGACTGAAAGTTTTCAGTAAATTTTTGGAACTTGGAATAATCTAAAATACTTTTTAAAATTATTAATAAACTTTGAACGAAAAATTGGATGTCTGAAAATTAGATGTCCTGAAAGTTTAATGACTGAAAGTTTGATCAGTATTCCAGTAAATTTTTGGAACTTGGAATACTTTATAATAAACTTTGAACGAAATTGATCAGCTGGCCTCTTTCTTTAAGGTGTTTTTTCTTTTTTCTTTGGGAATATTGAATTTTTTTGTTTGAATCAAATTTTCAGTCATCAAAATCTTCAGTCATCAAATTTTCAGTCATCAAATCTTCAAATCTTCAAATCTTCAATCATCAAACTTTCAGTCATTAAATCTTCAGTCATTAAACTTTCAAACATTGAAACACTGGAATACGGGAATACGGGAATATTTTTTCCAGGACGCGCTACAAGACAATGTCATCAACAATGAATTGCCTTTCTTGAATGAAATTATCAATTTTTTCTTTCTACTTGTCCAAATATGTATTAGGATTTTGTTTTAGATATTCTATACAATACTTTTTACATTTAATTGAATTTTTACAAGTCGCACCACGTTAAAAGACGGACAATTACGTTTATGGCTTATTATGCCTTTTGTTAAATTTTACATATGAATCAACCTGATTTGAATTTATTGAATATAATTTGTAATATTTGTAATATTGGTAAATCATTTGATATGCACTATATAATATATATGCCAACATACAGCATTCATAGAATATAAGAATTATCATGAAGTTCTGGCTATGAGAATTGAGAATTCTTGTTAAAAAAAAATCGTGATTTACATACGATATGCAATTTCATGAGAATAATCAGCAAGTACAAATAATCTTTAATATATATATATATATATATATATTTAATACTTTATGATATTCATTAATACTTTATGATATTTATTCAAATAAAGAAGGTGAATGGGATGATATTCACGTGATAAACATAATGTAGAAAGAAAATACATCAATCCTGCTAAAACCTTCCTGATTTTAAAATGCTGCCTTAATAAGTAAATAAGTAGGACGTACTGTACAGTCAACTCTCTCTCCAAGCACACGCATTATATCCCTGTAAAAAAAGTCTATCCGTTTTTTATATTCCGTCTTTTTTCCGTAAAAGGCTCATATTTCCGGAATTAATATAATAGCCTTATATCACGGAATTTATTAAATTATTTACATTTTTCCGTGAATGGATCCGGGAAAGGATCATTTTTACGGAGTTTTTACAATTTTACAGAAATAACGGATAAAAATTTTTTATAGGTATATTTTCCCCCTCTTATTCAGTCCAAAGTATATATAATCATATAAAATTTTAAATGCACACCTCTAAATGTACATTTTCATTATGGTCCCAAAGGGGGTACACAGTGCAATTAGAGAGTTGATTGTATTTGACTTAACGTGTCAATTAATAATAAAGACACATTGTGACATCGAGAATACATCGATACATCCGATACATCGAGAATTACATCCTCCTTAATAAATTTCAATATAATTCCAGAAAAAGGACATTGAGACATATGACATCTTCCACAATTATAGTTCTCCCTACAATATAATTTCAGAAAGGGTTTATTAGTTTAGACTTTTTGAATTTTGGCGTTTCAATAAGATTTCGTAAAAAGAATTTTTTTCAAAATCTTTTGAACAATCCTATGACATAGTTACAACATACATTCTTACGCCATATGATTTAACTAGTTTGGTTACATAAATTTGATATAATCTCGTCATTTGGATGGGGTTTTTGGCGAGGTTTTTTTTCTTTTAACAAACTCTTATCGTATCATTTAATCATTGATAATATTTTATTACGATAAGAGAGAATGATGTTGAGTAAATTATTGTCTTTTGAAGAAGTATTACGCGATTTCAAATCGATAAGAAAAAAATGATTGCCAGCATTTTTTACCTAGGAGGCATATTAATAAGCAGATTTAATTTACTAGAGTTTTATTATGTAACATATGTTTGAAATTATTTAATTTCTTTCTAATCATCATATATTAAAAAAGGTTGTTGCAATATATATGACAATAATCAATTCAATATAATATTGTAACAATTGTAACATAACATTTGTAAAAATAAATAACAAAACTCCTCAATTCTAATTAAACACGGATTAACAATTTTATTGAAACTTTTTCCGTGAACTTTTTGAAATATTTAGAAGCATCGGGAAATATTTTAGAATATCGGGATTGAAAAAAAAAACAGCTTTTTCCTCATTTGAGATACCTACTTTGGACAATTTTTAAAAACTGAATCATTTTGAATTACCATTTGAATTTGAAATCGAATTGTCACAATAAAATAATTCCAGTTTAATCCAGTTTATTTAAAAAATTTTGTTACCAAAACATACACAGTATGTACAAAGAAAAATTTTTTTTTTTAGTTGGGGTAATAAAACCGGAGAACAGAAAGGGGAAGAGAATTCCTTGTATCAATTTTTTTTATTATATTGTCATATAAATAGAAAGTAAATTGTTTTTTTTTTAAAAAAAAAAAATCAATTGCACGTGAATAATCAAAGTTGGAATTATTCAAACATTACCGTATATTTGAAATTAACCATAAAAGTTTTTAGCAATGGAACTAAAAGTAAATGCGCTTTTGAAACATTAGAGGGATCGTTTGTTTGAATGGAGTGCATACAACCAGCCTAAAAAAATGCATTGTCTACGGATCACCATCACAAAATGAACGTTAAAAGTTAGATTGATGTTTGAAGAATGTTGTAAATGTTATGTAACGTGAAAAAAAGAATCATTCTATACATTAACATAATCTTACATTGAACAAAAAAGTTTATTTAATGAACAATTAAAAAAGAAAAATAAAATTAATAAAAAAAAACGGTCAAAATACTTTTAATTTTCCATGTGAATTATGTGAATTGATTAAAACTTATAATTTTCTTTTCTAACCAATTTTAACTAAAAGTAAAAAGTAATTTTTTCAAAAAGTGGCTGAAAATGAAAATTATCAAGTGAAATGATAGATAAGGATTATTTTAGTTCTAAAAAATTTTGATTCGATATGATGACGTAGAATAGATTATTCTTGAAAAAATAAGATTAATTAAACTTTATTTGGTAAATTTAAATGAACGCCACTTTTGGTTATTTTTATGTCATCATAACTGTTACACTCACTAACCTTACTAAACTGTAAATAGGTGCTTTAGGCGCAAAGAATTTTGGGCATTAAAGAATACTTTAGTTTCGGCCGCGATTTACTCTAATACTGAATCGTTTTAATGAATGAAAAAAAACGGTGAAAAATTTTTCATAAACGGAATAATGAAATATTATACAATTAAAAATAAATAAATAAATAAATACACGTCAAATGATCTTTTGAAATCATCACAATCAAAATCACCATCACACGTAAAAATCCGTCCGTTGGTTACGCCATCTTAAAATCATAAAAAAAAAGATTATTATTATTTAAACAGATTAAAGTTTTTCTCATTAATGATGACTTTTTTAGTAATAGGGGAAACTTTTTTAATTTGGTTGACAAAAAGTCAGTATCCCAAAAATCATTTTTATTATTATCATACACTTTTTAAGCAATAAACTATAAATAAATTATTATATATGTGACACATATTTTAAAGAATTTTTGTGAGGAAGAATTGTAAAAATCTTATCACAACAAATCTTTTCACAACAATACTTTTCACACGCTCGCTTGCATACGCGATGTAAATAAACTTTTTGGTACATAGAATGACTTTTTCCCGGTTAGGTATGATAAGCCGCAGTAATTCATTCTGATTGTTTTTGTTTTGTTTTAATCGACTATGAGAATACTATCTTCATATCTAGATTATTGTATTACAGATTTTAGGCGTACGTCTATCATATCAGTTTATCGTATCAATTTGTGTAATAATTTAATTCAAAGGGAAATAATCAGGGAGGGAAAATTTCGTGTACATTTACGCTTTTATTTGTAAATCAAAACCTTATCTTTAAAAAAAAAAAAAATTTTTTTTTCTAAAATATGCCAAGGATTTTTCATTAAAGGGAGAAATTCAAACAATAAAAATTATTGTGATATTTTGCATATTTCAATGATTTAAATTTATGAACACGCGGATCTGCCAAGAATAATACATTCATGTCACACAAATTTATTATTAATTATATTTTATTTTATTTTTTTTAAAAAAAACACGATCCATTTTAATATATTTTTGCGTTAGTAATTTAATTTATGATAAATTACGTGATAGATTTTCATGTGTAAAATTTTTCAGAAATTTTTGTTTCCCAAATTAAGATTACTAAATTATACATATTACATTTTTATCACAAGGTCAACAAAAAAATTTCTTTATCTTAATAAAATTATTCCAATTGATCTCCAGGTTTTTGTGGGAAAAAAAATCATGGAAACAATCAATTACCATTTAACTATTTTCTTGACATCGGGACAACGTCCCGTGGGATCCGTGCGTAATAAACATTAATAAACATTAATAAAATCACCAGTTTCAGTCTTTATGTATTCGAGTAATACCATAAATCGTAAATTTTTCCGAAAAATAATTTAGAAAACGATAGATTATTATAGATTATTATGGATTATTATAGATTATTATAGATTATTATGGATTATTATGGATTATTATGGATTATTATAAGATTATTATAAGATTATTATAGATAATTATAAATTATTCGTAATAGAGAATTCTTTTTTAAGTTAATTTTTTTGAAATGATCGGGTATTAATTAAATTGTCTTTATGAAATTTTGTGAGACATTATTATATTACATTTCGCATTTTATTCGCATTTTTTACAGAAAATGATGAAACATTAATTTAAAAATCAACCTGTCAAATTTACTAACAATGAATAATAATTCTGCAGTTTTAGTAGATTATTTTGGGTAAATTAAAATGACCTTAATAATATTCATTTTTGAACATCCTAAAAAACATGATTGATAATATTCATTTTTGAACATCCTAAAAAACATGATTGAACATGATTCAAACCATAAACGAAATAAAATGATTATTAGAAAGAAATTATTTTTTTTTTTTATTTTATTTTATTTTTTTTTTCGAAAAATTAACATAGATTAAAATTGACTGTACATTATAAAAGAAAAAAGAAATTATTTTTTTTCATTTATAGACTAAAAAAGTAATAAGACCCCCATAAAAGATTAATTAATATAATTATTAAAAGTTCTATTAAAGAAAATAAAAGGAAGTAATTTTTACAAAAAAGAAATTTGATTATTAGCTATAATAAGAGTACTGTATATAATTTTTTTTTTTTTTTTTTTTTTTTNTATACAATCTAAAAAAAAAAAGTTGAGGATTTCGGAAAAACCGATTATTTCTATTAAAATGATGTACTTAGTTAGGTACACAAAACTAATCCGAAAATGTGGAAGAAAAATTTTTTTCTAAAAAAAAAAAAAATTTTTACTTTTTTATTTTTTAATCACTAAAATCCAACATTTGGCGTTTGGAAGGAGAATTGTTTGTTGTTTTTTTTGCCGCGATACAATGACGTAGGAGGAAGCTAGGAAAGGTATGACGGTTGATTATATTGGAAACGAAGGGAATAAAATTTTTCATTCATGGCCAGAAAAAGCCGTGAAATTGTTGTATGTGTGTCCAATTTTTTTTGTTTTTTGTGCCTTTTTTTTCCCGGCCTAACATGACCATCTAATTTCCTGTCCCAAATTCGGGAGGGGAGAATGATGATATGTTGTCATATATGCCATATATTGGAAGTGATTAACATTATTATTACTTTTGTTACTTTTGTTGATTAGAAGCGGACCCATTAGCTTCTGCAGCTTTCATCATTTTATTCATTTCTCTTCGTAAATCACATCGAAATTGAAGTAATTCAGAATATTCTTTGAAATTAAGTCTTGCTGGTTCCATTGAAGTACGATCGTATTCATCGTTACACCAAGTTTCGTGAACTACTAGAAATCTTGAGAATTGTACGGATTTACGACTATGATTATGTTGATGACATTCGTCTTCGCTATCATCTGTAGCACCTACGCATATAGCGATGCAGGATTCTGTTGGTGATGGTGGGCATGAATCTGTATCAGACATCTTTTTTTAAGTAAACTGGGTAAATTTGGTAAAACTTGAGTAAACTGGGTAAACTGGCTAATAACTAAGGAAATAACTATAACTAAGAATTTGGAAGAGTTCCTCCCTCGAGTATATTTTGATTCGAGTGTAATACAAAGATTATTTTTTTTTTACGAAAATTATACTTTGATCTTATTATTATGTATTATAATATTATGGATATTATGATCGTAAATATGAGAGAGAAACTTTATTATTATTTTTACTGAGATAAAATCACAATTTTAATTGATGATGATAAACAAATAAACTTTTAAATGATCTTCCTTTGCTAAAAATTAGAGAGAAATCTATTTGATCCTTTTAAAAAATTATCGCGTTTTTTTCCTCTTAATTAATTATTTCAAATACTAAAAAAAATTACCAAATGGTTTTGATAGAAAAATTATAGAATTTTTTTTTTTTTTTAAAAAAAAAAAAAAATTTTTAAAAAAATTTTTTGGATGATATAGGGTAAAAATATATATATATATTATATATATTATTATATATATATATATTTTTTTTTTAATATTATTTTTTTTTTTTTTGAAAGTTATATAACTAAAACAAACGTATGAAGAGAATAGAAGAGACAGAGAGGAAAAGGCCCTACCTTTATACTGTTTTTTTTACCCTTTGAAAAAAAATTTTTTTTTTAAAGTAATAATATAAATAGTGTATCACCAGTTGTTTGTGAAGCAATTTAGTACAAAATGTACATAAAATATTTTTGTGTAATATGAGATATTTTATTAAGTGATATAAGGGGGGAAAAGATAACTAAAAGGAAAGATTGCGACACATAATAAAATAGGCTAGTACGTGAAAATAATACAAGGTTTAAAATAAACGAAAAATAAAATTTCTAAATTGAGTATAATGATGTGTTAATCGAAATTACTCCGGATATATGTCATGGGTCGGATACGTCTCCTGATTTTCCTTATATTAACACTGGACATCAGGTGATGTCGTAAGTTGATCTAATTATAAAAAATATAATGAATATATTTATTATTATATGAAACATTTTTAAATGATTCCCAATTTATAATTATCAAATTGGTAATAGAAAAAAAAAAAAAGGATAATTATAGCACAAAATAAAATAAAATAAAATAAAATAAAGTAAAGTAAAATAAAATAAAATAAAATAAAGTAAAATAAAATAAAAAAGTGAAATAAAAAAAGTGAAATATAATAAAATACTTATTCCCAATTGTAAAAAAACATAGTTATACGAAGAAAAATAAACAAAAAAAATAAAAAACAGTTATGCTTTGTGATTATTATTTTATTTTTTTATTTTTCATGCAAAAAATTTATTATTTCCCGATTTAAATGGTAGAAAATCCGTTTGAACTCTCATAGTTTTTTTTATTTGAACCTTTCAAATCTCATTTTTTTTCGGTAATCGAATAATAATCAATAATTTTTACTTACATCAAGTTTAAAAAAGCAAATATTGAAATACCGAAATCTAAACATTAATGCATGCAAAAAAAAAAAAAATTTACTTATAAAAAACGAAGAGTTGATATTTCTTTAAATAAATTTCTTTTCTAAATTTGGAATTTATAATAAACAAATAAATAAATAATCTTTCCACATAATTATTACCTGAAATTTATGCAGTGTTCAACATCAATCTTACTAAAAATACATTTTTCATTTTAGTCAACTAGTCAACACAATCACGACAGCCATAAGCCAAAAAATCTTTGTAAATCTAAATTATCGAAGGGAATAAAATTTTCTTTTTTAAAATAAATGAACTTTTTTTAGTGTAGATTTTAGTAGATTTTAAAAAAGAAGGTCATCTTTGTGTTCATGTTTTTTTATTCTTTATTTTTTTTTTTTTAGAAGTCAAATTCTGTAGAATAACATTGGTTAAGTGCTTCTATAATGTGAAAAGAATGCAAATCAAAGTCAGTACTTTTTTTATTTTTAGTTCATTACATCATGATTCATGAAAATTGAAAGGGTGACAGTTAACAAAGTGGCTAAGTCATTATAAATTTACTTTGTTTGGTCACTATTCCCTTTATAATAAAAAACAGGCGAAGGATCGGGGTAAAAATATAATTAGTTTTATAGTTGATAATTTTAATTACCTAAATTTGATATGATGTGATACAACGATCAAATAATAATAGGTATAATTTTATCTTGGGGTGAAAAAAATCGACCCGATTCTTTAACAGATCGTTTTGAATTCGAATTCATGATTCAAGAGTCTTTTGGATCCTCGACAAAGACTTTATTCTGCATCAATGAATTTTTATAATTAGTTTTTTCCACTGGAATTTCGATAATTCCAAATAATACATTTTTGAAAGAACTTAAAAAAGTTACACCAAATTTTTTTAGTTATTATTATTTAAGGTTTTCTTTTTTTTGTAAATCAAAAAATAACTATTACGATAAATATACATACTTTAGTACATGAAAATATCATTAGTTTGACAATTTAAACATTTTACAATATTGTTTAAAATTTTATGGAATTTTATGGAATTTTAAAAGATATCATGAAAATTTTGGATCACAGAGATTTTTTATAATTATCATTTTAAAATATATTAATTTTGATCAAAAAAAAATCAAAAAACAAACAAACAATTCACAATACAATCATTTTAAATTTTAAATTATTTTAGATAATCTCAAAAAAAAGTTATTATAGACGACGCTTACTGGTTCAAACTTCAAAGGTCGGACTCTCTTTAAAAGATTTTTGTTGTAAATTGTAAATTGTAAATTGTAAATCTCATTTGTTTGTATGTTTGTAAGTTGTAACATCTTCATTTTGATCAGATGATGATGTGTTACTTTGTTGATTTACAATCTTACATGAGTCTATGACTTATTCGTCATTACCCGTTTTGGTGGGTAGTATTCAAGTTGACGTTATGACGATACTCACGTACAAACCTCATTTAAAAATGTCACGCGCGCAAATTTTCATTATTAAAATTACTTTTCAAAGTTTTTATTCACGCGTTTTTAATCCTTTAAGGAAGTGACAATCAAACAATCTATACGTGATATAATGTTATTTATACCGATATAGTTGAAATCATTGTCAATTATGATAATCCGATTATCTTGAAAAAAAAAAATTGCGACATTTACACGCAATATAATCCCTTCTGAGTTCCCGAGTATTTTTTATTTTTGTGGGAGTTTTTTTCTTAAATAATATTACAAATTTTTACTATTTTTAATGAAAGATATTCGAATTTGTAACTTTGTATTACTTTTTTTGAATTTCCTTTAGAAATTCTTTTTCAGAATTTTAATTTCTTGTTTTACCTCAAGAATTTTTGTTTGTACTATAAAGTCTATATATTATTTAAATATTATGGTATTTATTCAAATATTTTTAATCTATATGTTATTCAAATATTTTTAATCTATATGTTATTCAAATATTTTTAATCTATATATTTATATTCAAATATTTCAAATATTTACTCTTTCTACTTTTTTTCATTTCCCCACGTCCCCAATCCCCATTTAAAAACTGATAAACCAAATTAAGACATTATAATAAAATGGATCACCTTTTTATTGTTTGACAAGAAAAATATTAAAAATACTTTGTAGTTTGTACTATCCGACCTTTCCCACGGACAAAATGTGACCCAACGGTCCCTAACTGACCCGACGGTCCCAGATTTTTTATGTGTCTTGGTGATCTCAATAGAATATTACATACAGACATACAGTATATTACTTTATAAAACGAAAAAGAAACACTTTCTAAGAATAGATTTAAATGTATGTTATATGTACGCGTCAGTTTCTTTTTACACCAATTTAATGCGTCAATTAAAAACTAATCATGTTCCAGAGAATAAACTTGGCATAAATCAAAAGTTCTTTGATTCGAAGAGAGATTTTGGAATTTTATTGAAGGAAAAAAAAAAAATATATATATATATTTTTTTTTTTTTTTTATTTTTTTTGTAGTAACACCACATTTTGAACAACCATTGAGCACAATTAAAGGTGTTGAACACAAATTAAAGATGTTTCACACTTGTATAAAGTCTAACTAGTTCTTTTTTAAAAAAATTAGTAGATTTTTAATTAATTAATAATCAAAACTGCTTGGCATTTGACATTTTAGATAAAAAAAACTTTATTATTCTACAAATCATAATTAATCAAATTGTTAATCTATATAAGAAAATTATATATATATATTTTTTTTTTGCTTGTTAATTTAATTGTAAATCTCGATAATCCTTTTTTAATATTTTTTGATCAAATAACATATGCAAATATTATGTTAACTTTGCATCAAAAAGGTTTATTATGTTCACGAAATAAATTTTTGTATACCAATTTAGGTTTCGTTCAATGATAATTTACTTTAATTAGTAAAATTTATTTTTTTTTTTTTTTTAGGGTAAATAGAAAAAATTAACTGGTGAGACCAAAAATTGTGCATACATAATAAAAAAAAAATACCATCTATGTAAAAAAGAAATGAAATTTATTACATGCGGGAAACATGAATACCATGTTAAGTTAAGATGATCATCGTATAATTCGTTACTATTTTTGATTTTTTTGTCAAACGAAAATTTAATTGCATTATTTATTAAATTAAAAATTACACGAAATGTTTAATTTATTTAAACCGCTTTTGCAAACCTTTTACCGATTGGTTCGGTAAACCTGTTGTATTTGTAACAAATATACAAATATATTTATTATATTATATTCTTTTGTAAATCTTTCTAAACTTTTTTGTTCATGTAACCAATGTTGATGAACTTTTTTGAACAAAAAATCCTGTATAATTAATTATTTTCAAATATTAAATAATTATTTATGTAAAATTCATTTATGTAAGGAAAAAAAATTCATTTATGGTCATAAAAACAAATATGATTACGGTGTAAGATTGTAAAGTGTAATAAATAAATTATATAAATTATATATATGATACGTAAGACGAACGGTAAGACTTAAAAAAAATAAAAAAGTTCTTTCGGGTAAGGGTAGAACCAAGTTTATCTCTTTTTTGATCAACTTCCATGTGCATGGTGCACTTGTGTCACGAACTCTCGGTTTTTTTTCATGATCTTTTTATTGTATATGTTAACGATTAATTAATTTAAATGAACTATGATTGGTATGATCTCTTTGACATTTGTACCAGATTTAGGTGATGGTGAATTTTTTAATTTTTTACAAGAATTTTTTTTTTTTGCTGGTGTACCTTGATTTATTATTATTTATTACGTAGCAAAGATCACGAATCATAATTTCAAAATTATCAATTATCAATCGACCTTATATTAAAGTTCCGACTATGGATTCCGACTTTCCGACTTTACATTTCTTACATTTCTTACATTCCCCCATTTTTTTTTCAAAAAAGGAGNTTTTTTTTTTTTTTTTTTTTTTTTCATTATTCAGCCTTATTTACATTCTAAGTTTATTATTTCATTTAGAGAAATTGTTAATGAATACGCGGTTATGGATTATCGTGTAACAAAAAAAATTTCAAATATTTTCAAATAATTCCTGATAATTTGATAATGCGGTGTGATTCTCCTCCTGATTTACTTTGCATTTATGAATCTTTTATGTGTAAGAATATGATTAGAAAAAAAAAAAAAATTCATTATGAAACTAACTCAACTAAGTGATTTATGAAGGAATTTCTATCATTCCTTTTTATCATTTCTTTTTTAATAATTTCGCCAAGAAATAATATTTGAGTTGATCTTAAATTTAATTGATGCATATTTTGATATTTTGATGTACTTCACGCATTCCCATGCATACTTTATGAAGTTTACAAATTTTTAAATCTTTTTTTATCGGTCTCCTTGATAATTAATAATTACATGATAAAAAAAAATTAAAAAATTTTAAAGATCAAAAGATTTTAAACCAGTTATATCATTATCATATCTTTTAATAATAATAATCATACTATAGTTATACTGTAGTTACTATAGTTACTATAGTTGTATACTAATAATAAGATCAATAAATCTACCATAATAGTTACTACACATTTCACTAATCACGTCTCAATACTAAAGGTTTTCAAACCAGCAATTCCAACTCCTTTAATTACTCCTACTAAATAAACTCCAACTCTTCTATAATCCCCAATTTTATAAACTTTGACATTTTCTTTACCATGAAAAGTAGCTTCAATAATTTTTTGTAATTCTTTATACCCATCTTTTTGTCCATAAGGATCTTCTGCAAATTCAGAAGTAAAAGGATCAAAAAATTCTTGAAATTTTAATACATTATTACTCTCTGAAGAAGAAAGTTCTTCTTCCGCTATCATCAAATTATTATTATCTTGTTGTTTTATTAAAGATTTAAATTGTGTACAATCTTCTGGTAATTCAGTTATATCTTCTTTTGGTATAAAAATAAATTCATATGGTTCCTCCCCTTCAGAAATAAATAATAAATGTTTACTTGTTTCCAATAATGTTTCCTTTATACGTTGAATCTCTGCTGGAAATGTTGTCTCTTCTTGTTGAACTGTTAATGTTGATGGTTCTTGTTCTTCTTCTCTAGGTTTTACGTATTGTTTTGTTCTTTGTTCATAATCTTCAACAAACGAGAGGTATTCATTACGATCCATGATATTAAAATAACTGGGGTGAAAATTTCAAAAAGGAATTGACAAAAGTGCGTTATAAAAAACTGTGAGAGTTTTTTTTATAGAGATGTAAGACTGATGTCATTAAATACCTCCCTGAAAAATGATAATCAAGATTTGATCAGGTATTGTGTATATTTACACGTGAACAATTTTTTTTTAAATTTTTTTTTTTTTTTTTTTTTTTCCTTTCCTAATTATAATAATGTTAAACCTTTTTCATAATTTTAATGTACGAACCTTTATTAGAGCAGCAGCTTGGGGTCCTGTGATTTTATTTTTTGTTGAACATGGTTTTAGTATAGGTTCTATTCAAGGAAGGTCTATGCAGGTATCTTTTAATAAATTTGGTATACAATATACAATATAGTATATAGTAACTTTTTTAATAATTATAACGAAATTTAGTGTTCGAACTAGTAATAAATAACAATAATAAAATAAATATGGTCATCCATTTTTTTTTGTGATTTATATGATTTATATTAACCAAAAAAAAAACTGGCCTTAAAAAAAAAAACATAAATAAAAATAAAATATCAAAACTTATCTAAAAATTTAGCCAACGTTTAACCCTGATTCAAACAAACTCCGTAGAGATGTTGTTTTATTAAATCGTTGGATAGCTGTTACACATGAATATGTAAGAGGTGATGTGGTAACGTTATTGTAAGTATTTTCAATTAAAATTTTTTTTAAAAAAAAACGCGTTTTTTTTTTGTATCTTGAAATTTATTTGATTTATTTTTATAAAAAGTGCACCAGATGATCCAGATCGTGTGATAACAAAAAGAATAATCGCATTAGAAGGTGATACGGTATTCACCACACTTCCTCATCCTGATAAATTTGTTAAAATACCAAAGGGACATTGTTGGATTGAAGGTGATGATATCTTTCATAGTAAAGATAGTAATGAATATGGACCGGTAAGAAGCATTAATTTATAAGTGTTGTCGAAAATTCTTGAGTCAGTGTTATGATATACATAGTGAAATTCGATATAATGGAACCATTTCGTTCCATTAATAAAATTTGTCAAAAATCCGTTATATCTTATATCGAGGGTAAATTAATTATACGTTATGATAATCCCAATCAAGATTATCGAGGATCCGGTATATCGAATTTCACTGTGTATGTCAATGCCATAACCATAAAAATATTACGGCATCACGACATTAAGACGACATATGATAATTAATTTCGCCAGTCGTGGCCATAACCGTGTTACTATTTTGGTACATATAAATTGAAAAAAAGTTAATGATGATTTACAAGAGTTATTTTTATTATAGGTACCATTAGCATTGATTAATGCTAAAGTTTCTTACATATTACTGCCATTTTCAAGATTTGGTAAAATAGAACGTGTTGAAAGTTCTCGTGTTTCTGTGTTCAAAGATGATTAGTTTTATTACGACATTGGATAAATGAGTTTTTGGAGAATTTTTAAATAATAATAATTGGAGGAAATAATTAATCAGAGGAAAATAATTATAAGAGAGAAAGTTTCAGAAATTTGACGAAAAATTATTTTTTTTTTTTTTTAAAAAAAAATAATAATTTTTTTAAAAAAAGTATGTATAATAATAAAAAAGAAAATGGATTTGTCTAATAATAATTTAATAACTTTATTGTTCCGTTTTTATATTTACTAAATAAATAGATCAATAATAATTTACATCAACTATTTTTTTTTTTTTTTTTAACTTTCTATCTATTGATAATTTAATCAGTTAGATTATTTATAACTTGGGTGATGTTATGATGTTATGATTTATAATTATGGAATAGATACTGAAAAAAAAAAAATTTGAAATTAAAGCATTTGATAAAGCAATTTTCTTATTAATTTGCAACTAATTAACCAAGTTCCTTCAATTATTTCAAGTAGCTTCAAATTACACTAATTAACCGAATTATTCTAGTAGCTTCAAATTACATCAATTAACCAAGTTCTTTCAAATTATTTTAAGTAGCTTCAAATTACACTAATCAACCAATTAACCGAATTATTCTAGTAGCTTCAAATTACCTCAATTAACCAAGTTCTTTCAAATTATTCTAAGTAGCTTCAAATTACACTAATTAACCGAATTATTCTAGTAGCTTCAAATTACATCAATTAACCAAGTTCCTTCAAATTATTCTAAATAGCTTCAAATTACATCAATTAACCAAGTTCCTTCAAATTATTCTAAATAGCTTCAAATTCAAAATATTCTAAGTAGCTTCAAATTACACCAATTAACCAATTACACTAAGTAACCAAATTACAAGTTCCTTCAAATTATTCATATATATAACATTTCCGCATTCATCGTGGAATATATATTCGCTCCCAGAACCTAGTTTTGAAAGTCCGATAATACCGCTGGCCAGTTCTGGTCCAACGACTTCTACTGCTCCCATTCCTCCATTCCACAAAATTCTAAATATTATCTTTATTTTATTATTGCTTTACTAACATTAAAATTCCAACCATACAATTTAGTCGTCATTTTGGAGATAATTATTTAAAGCGATAAGGTTTTTCTAGAGAGAGAAAAAGTTTGAGAACACCGAAATCGTAAATCTCGGTAGAGCCACCTGGCAGTTTGCTCCTCTATTCCTCACGTTCATATCATTGGATCATGTAATGTAATGAATAGCGAAGTAAATTTGATGAAAAATGCCAGATAAAGTATTGCGCTGATCTGAGGATTTGGAAAAAAGTTCCAAGTAAACCAAATTTCGGAATCTTTGCTCGCACTGTCGAGCGGTACACCGAAAACATAAATCTCCTGGAAGTTTGCTCCTCTACTCCTCCCGTCCATATTGTTAGATCATGTAATGTAATGAATAGCGAAGTAAATTTGATGAAAAATGCCAGATAAAGTATTGCGCGGTATACCGAAAACGTAAATCTCCTGGAAGTTTGCTCCTCTACTCTTCCCGTGTCATTAGATCATGTAATGTAATGAATAGCGAAATAAATTTGATGAAAAATGCCAGATAAAGTATTGCGCTGATCTGAGGATTTGGAAAAAAGTTTTTTTTTTAATTAGAAATAATCCAAGTAGTGGCGAACGATCATTGTGAAGGTGTTGTAAAGAGTGCCTTCCAAACGCTTCAAACCCAAGTCAAGGTTCAGAAGACAATACCTCCGAACTCCGAAGTCCAGCTCCTCAAAATCACTCTTCCAAACCAGTTCGCAAAATAAGCATCGATAATCCTCAGCTTTTTTCCAATTTCTCACTAATAAATTTATTAAGAGCTGAAGCATTTTTGAATCAAGCAGATATATATTGTCTTGTAATTCCATAAACACATCGTCGATGATTTGTCCCATTCGTCTGTTACGAGAACTCATTTGAAAATAGTTGTTTTTCCATAAGTAAAACATGATATAATTAGCTACGAGAACTCGATGTTCTTCCATAAGTAAAATGTTATAATTAAACAGCATTAGCGTTCATGATCTGTTGATATGAATACACGAGAGTTCCTCAAATTATTGTAATAAATGTACAAACTCGAGATTTCCTATAAATTAAAAGTTATCTTAAATGGTAAACTTAAAATGCTTATTATAATCCTAATTCCATCATCTGCCAATCTAATTATAATCGATATAACATCAAGTATTTTCCCAAAATATAATATACATAAAGATATAATTATCATTTCCCAAATTATTATAAACCATCTAATAAAATTAGGTTGTTGTGAAAGAAATTCAAAATGTTTATTTAATAAAGTTGATATTGTTGTAAATAAGATTCCTATACCAAAAATATCAGTAATATTTATTGTTATATTAAATAATGAATTTTTAGAAATAATTTTAGGATCCTTTTTCCTAAATTTTAAAAATTTCATAAATGATGATGATGATTTATTTGATTTATTTGAAAAAGAAAATACACTTATTGTTGTTTTTGTTGAATTTGATTTAGACGATGTTTGTCTTTTTTTTAGAAAATTCATTGTTAAAAAAATTAAAATTTAAAATATTTTTTTTAAAAGGAAATCAAGGAAATCACTGTATTTATAATTTTTTTAAGGAGAGGTTTATTGTATGTTTATTACCCGATTTTACTTTTTAAAGGATTCTAAAAATAATTATTAATAGGGAACAGAGGAAACAAACAGAAAGTGAAGTGACGATCACATTTATAATGAACATGTGATCTTTCAACTTCTTTTATAACGTTAGAATTCTATTCCTCTAAAGTCTAAAGAAAAAGTGAAAGTATATTTTTAAAATTAAAATTATATTTATAATAGTTAATTAAAAAAAATTTGTTATACTATCTAATATAATATTTTAAGTAAAATATAACAGTTATTTACTGTATATAAATATTAATAATTATTCATTTATTTAAAATTACAGAAAAAATTTAAAAAACAAATAAAAAACTTATTAGAGTTACAAAGAAAAAAGCTATAATTGATTTCAATACTTACTAAACTCTTATTTTTTTTATTTTAAATACCATATTCTTTTAAAGAAAGATTTTACAAAACTTTTACTATAGTCCATAATTACTTTTATATAGGAAATAATGTAATTTTTTCATTCAAGATCTGTATGAATTTCTGAAAAAGTCTGCATTACTTTTTTAATAGTAAATAATCTGAATTAGTTTATCTCTATTAGTAAGAAAAACCTGGAATTTTACAGTTAAGTCAACTTTACTATCTATCTTTTTGATAATTTATTTATACAAAATACTGAAGAAACTTTTTATAATTTTGTAATAATATATAAACAAATTTGCCAGAAACTTTATCTAATAATTATTTTTTCTGATTATTGTCTGAAGTATAAGTATAAGATACTGCAAATTATACATATGTTATCTATCCACACATATATATTATCATGTTGATTATTCTTAAAACAATAAATTAAAACAGTGTATCCATTATTTTTACTTTTAACAAAATCAGTTGCATTAAGTAATGTATATTTCCTATCATAATTAACTTTTAATAAGTCTGATCCTTTAATTTCACCTTTGCCATTATTAGAAAAATATTTAATCTTTCCATCTACAACTTTTCTTATCTTTTTAAAATGAATATTATTATATAAATCAATACTTTTAATTTTTGAATTATATTGAAAAAAGTGGTTAATAGTTGTAAAAGAAACTACTAGAATTAATAGAATAGTTAGAACTATTTTTTTATTTATATTAGTAAAATAAGATACAATTGTTCAATTAAAACAATTAAAACTTGTTTATTTTCTACTTTTTGAATTTGACCAATATATAATTATTCTTTTTAAAACTTCTTTAACAAACTTATCCAATTATTTGTCATATTAATTGTATTTTTAACTTTTGAAAATTTATGATAAAATTCAATTTTTTTATTAGAAAGTAGAAGTTTTTAAACTATTCTAAAATATAAAATATAGATATTATTAGAAAACAAAAAAAAAAGTAAAATAAAGCAATGATAAATTAAAGGTATATAATGTCTTATTTTTTTTACTTTTCAAATTTATTTGCTTTATTTGTGATATTTTAAATAGACAATTTCTATTTGTACATAAAGTATTTAAATATGGGTTTTCAAAAAAGTAAAATTTCTATGCTGATCATTTAATATTAGACAGAGTTAGAGTTACGATCCGGATGAATCTGAAAAGGCACATTTTGGCAATTATACATGGATTTTAATTAATAAAGATTAAATTGTTTTTTATATATTATAAAACTGCATTCCAATGCACAATCTAGTAATTTAAAAAATTACTATTTAATACAAAAAAAAAGAGAAAATAAAAACGGATTGATTTTCCATCCAATCCAGATGAATTTCAATCCGTTTTAATTTTTCTCTTTACTTTTATTTTTGAAGACAATTTTTTTTTATCATATTATGTATTGATAGATATTCATAAGATATCTCAAAAAAAAAATATTCTTTTTATTGACTTAATATTCATAGAATGACAGAAATGTATTTATTTACGAATTGACGGATTGCAACTCTAAATAGAGTTAAATTTAATGAAAAAATAAAAAAATAAAAGAATTTGTTAAATAAATTAAAATTAATATTCAAAATTAACTTTGACACTTTAAATAAACTTGCAGAATAGATAAAAATACATATATTGCATATTTTTATTTATTTTTACATAACTTTTTAATAAAGTTATATGATATGTATATAAACATCCTATATAAATTAAGAAATTTTCTTTTAAATAATATAATAAATATAAAAAATAAAAGCATAATCATTAGTATCTATATAATAATACAGTTATTATTAGATATAGTGGTTAAGATATTATTCAAACTGCTTTGCAGTTTTAACCTTCCTATTTAATATATACTTTTCGTCAAAATGACAAAATACTAATTAAATTTATTTTGACAGACGTAATGTATTTTGACAGACGTAATTAATTCATAGTAATTTTATAATAAATAGTGAATTGGTCCGTTCGCCGAAATACAACGTAATTAATTAGCGGAGAAGTATAATTTAATAATTATAATATACTACTTAAACTTCAATTTAAATGCATATATGCTGTGACACGCCACCCATAGGATATTAAGATAAAATATCGTATGTTGCCACCGACGTGTTGAGTTCGTATAATATCTATGCTTGGTTTAAAATAAAATTTAGTTACAAAACATTAATAAACCATTAATTAAAATAATTAATGTGGCACTTTTTACTCATAAGAAAAAGGCAAAAAGAATGTGTTAGTTTTTATTAAAGGCGAATTAAAAATTTTATTTTTCCCAAAAATTGAACTGCAGAATTTCCTATCGAAATCCACTTGTATTTATACATTTTAAGAAAATCATTTCTACTATCTACTACTCTTTCTCTCTATCAAAATTCTAAGAATAATAAGAAATAAAAGATGTATTATCATATGACTTTCTTGTTACACTAAACTAAACTATAAATATAATTTTATTGGCTAATTATTTATCCATCGGCTAAATGTTTATCCGTCA